AACGTCACAACACTCGGCCCAGACCTCATTTCAAAGGCCTCCAAGTTTCAGACTGATGCGACAAAGCATGGGACCGTGGGAGCGACGCAACGATGTGCCTGCACTCGGCAGTAACGGACGTGCCGGCCCGTCGGGTCCATGCGCCGTGCAGGTAGGCAAGCCAACTCACCTGGTGCCAGGTTGATTAAAAGCCATTTGGAAGCCTGATTTTGGCTGGTTAGCCACTGTGGCATGTTGGGAGACATGCCTGCCCACAGTGCTGAAGCGTGGTGACGCGCGAGCCATAATCAGGCTTCCAAATGGCTTTAATCAACCTGGCACCAGGTGAGTTGGCTTGCCTACCTGCACGGCGCATGGACCCGACGGGCCGGCACGTCCGTTCTGCCGAGTGCAGGCACATCGTTGCGTCGCTCCCACGGTCCCATGCTTTGTCGCATCAGTCTGAAACTTGGAGGCCTTTGAAATGAGGTCTGGGCCGAGTGTTGTGACGTTGGTTGGGAATGCTACCCCCACTCAGTGGGTCGCTGGAAGGGAGTGAAGTGAGGGGTGGTTTTTACAGGAAATGACGCTTTTTTCGCTCTGGAAGACGAACGGTTGGTGGGATCGTCTTGAAAACTTCAGGATCGCTTCCCCCATGTCTTGTTCGACCAGCCCGCTCGTCGGAGGGCTTCCAACCCCTCCAGGGGCGTGCAGGGGTGCAAGGGGGTGAACACCCCGACCGCAGGGGTTGCAGTCGTCCGGCAGCGCGTTTCTTCGCTGAGACGTCTTCTTGGACACTGGAGGAATGCCCCCTGGAGTTTTGTTGCATTTTGCTCAAACCGAAAGGCCCCGGACGGCCGGTGTTCGAAAGGGGGTGGGGCTTCCCGGGGGATGATTCACCCGGGGGTGGTTGGAACGTCGAAGAAACATGGTTGCTTGGTACGGGGGACGCCCCGACGCTGTTTTGCGCGAAATTCAAACATGCTCGAAATCCACCCCCTCGAGGGGGTGGGGGTGAGTGCAGCGGGGGGTGGGTTGGTTCAAATTGAATTCCGCTTGCATCGTTGGAAAGAGGAGACTCATTTGACCTCGTACACGAAAACTTTGGCCTCTGCGATAAGGTAAAGTTGGTTTTTACGGCACGTTTTCATCGTTTTTTTCACCCTCGCGCACTTAGGGGTGGGTGCCGTCCGTTAGGGGAGGCGCACGGGCTACGCACTTCGCAGGCCTCGAGGGAAGTAGTAGGGGCACCCGTGTACAAAATTTCAGCTTCCTAGCTCGAAAGACTTAGAAAATATTACGATGACAAAAAGCGTTCCGCTAATTTTTGTCGGGAGTGTAAGTTCCTTTTTCATCTAAGTTCCTTTTCATCTAAGTTCCTTTTTTATCTAAAATCTTTTCATCCAAAGGTCTGTTGAATGCGAGTAAAATGATGGGTTTCCGTCTCGGATTCAAGGATTATTCTAGAAGATGGTGTGTTTACTGAATGCGGCAAAGAGCAGTCGCTTTTCAAGCAGATTAGATTGAGGACCATCATGATTCTCCAAGTCTTTTTCGACCGTCGCGAAGGCAGTGTACCAAACGAATGACTAGGTTGAATCGAAGGTGGTTGAATTAGAGAACACAAATTGCACCGACAAACAGCTTCTGTTTAATTAGTCTCTTTTTTCATCGCATATCAAAACACAACACTGGTAGCCAACGAATGTGACATCACATTCGTTTGAACGTGAAAACGGCGATGTCAGTTTGAACGTGACAAACAGAGAAAATTCATACTCAAACGAATGTGACACGCCGCACCGCTTTGTCACATTACATCGGGTGTGACACGAAATCAGCAGGCAAACTGTCACATTAATATGAATGTGACACATGGTACCCATTGACATACATCGTGTCACATCCAAACGAATGTGACACCAATATGCTGTCACGTTCGTTTGAATGTGACATGCCCACATTGTCACATTAAATTGAACGTGACACGCCATAACCTGACACTTATGGCGTGTCCGGGGCGTGTCACGTTCGTTTAATTGTGACAATTAGGGCATGTCACATTCAAACGGACGTGACAGCATGTGGGTGTCACATTCGTTTGGATGTGACACGATGTATGTCAATGGGTACCATGTGTCACATTCATATTAATGTGACAGTTTGCCTGCTGATTTCGTGTCACACCCGAAGTAATGTGACAGAGCGGTGCGGTGTGTCACATTCGTTTGAGTATGAATTTTCTCTGTTTGTCACGTTCAAACTGACATCGCCGTTTTCACGTTCAAACGAATGTGATGTCACATTCGTTGGCTACCAGTGAATTTTACATACTTATGACAACATATATTAAAGATAAACAACCCACGTTTATTTAATTCAATTTCACATTATTAACAAGAAGTAAGATGACACGAAACGCGACGAGGGAAACATCAAATTTGAGTGACAAACAATCAAATAAAAATATTTTTTTTTAAAAAAACCACGAATTACAAACAAGCAGGAATTAACACTGCAGGGCACACATTTCCAGCATTTGCAAAGGGGGTCTGGCGTATCATTCTTCATGAAAAAGGAGGGAAGGGAAGATAGAAGGAAAGGATAAAAGGAAAGGAAGCGAAGGAATAGGAACTGTTCGCGTAGGACGACTCCGTGTTCTTTGCGACTTTTCCTGACACAGAGAACTATTTCCATGACAATGTTTCTTTCCCCGCACCGCGCAGCACACGAAGGGCGCCATGAAGGACCACGCGCATCCCGCAGCGCACGAAGGTCGAGGCCAGGCACCACAGCGGCGCTGGGCGACACCTCGGCCACGCGGATGGCGACCTGGACGGGCACGCCTCAGCGCCCAGTGGCCCGTCAGGGCACACACACGCGTCCAAGAGGAGCCCTGAAAGGGCTCGAAGGCGGCGGTGGCGGTGGGGACGGCCGCCCGGCTCCATCTCGCCAAAGGCGAGCGCACCCGGGCCAGTGCAGCGCACAGCACTCCCTGCCGAGGCATACACTGTAGAGACAGGCAACACCCAGGCCCCGGGGACGCCGTCGTTGGCGGCGCCCAACTCCGTGCAGCGCGCAGCGCAGAGGCTGGCAACAACGAGGCCGCAGTACTTTTAGCCTGAAGGGCGAGAAGGGCCCGCGGCCACGACGGGGCGGACGAACACGCCGTCAGCCGCGCCTTGCAGCAGCAGAATGCACTTGGCCGCGCAGCACTCGAGCTCTCTCCCCACGAAGGGCAAGGAGGGCCCGGCCACGCCTGGACGGGCACTCCCACAAGTCCCTAAAGGCGCAGTCACCGCCAGAGGCTGCCCGCACCGCGCAGCACGCGAAGGTCGAGTCCAGGCACCACAGTGGCGCTGGGCGACACTTCGGCTACGCGGATGCCTTTCTTGTAGAGCATTCATAGTTTGTTGAGAGTCGGCAGGGCGGCGGCAGCTCGGCGGAGAGGCCATCAGCCTTTCGAGGCGTAATGCTTACATGTTAAGAGCAAACCCAACCCCATTTATAACTTTGATCTTAAGTTGGGAGGGAAGATGAGAGAGAGGGAGGGAGGGGCATTCATATGCTTCGGAAGCCATACAGTACAGCGTCCTGTGCACCTTTCACCAATGTAGTTGCCTTACTATGCGTCTCCTAATGGTCAGGAGTACGAATAGCAGACTACAGCCAATTCTAATAGCTACAAAAAAGTAGCAAACTTCTAATGGTGACATGGTTCCGCAATGCTCATGCTCAACCAAAATTAGATGAGACAAAATTATAGCAGCCCCAGAAACAGAAAAGTTGATGCAGTGCTACAACAAAGGCGGGAGAATTACAAGAGCACTGAGACGCAGGAGGTTACATACATCGTAACATGTTTCCGATGGGGCCATGTGATGTGAATGTTGAGCTGCTGGTCTTGTTCTGCGACTGATGTGCGTTGTCCTTTCTATCTTCACATTGGGTTGATGAGTGAGAGGCTGCTGGTCCCTGTCCCCGACTGATGCTTCTTGTTCCGATGAAGTCGTTCCTCCTGTTCAGGCAGCATCTTCCATTCTAGCCGACCACCATTCGATTCCACACTTTTACTCCTGGAACCATAACCACAAAAATCAGTATCACCCCTGCCGGTGCATCAACTTCAAAAACTTTATTGGGAATGTAATACCTGTAGGTGAGCAGAGGTATGTTGGCGAACAATCATCCACGAAGACTTGTCCAATTCCTCTATTCATCCTTGACCAATCAGCATAATCAGAAACTCGTAACTTTTCCTGAAAACAAAACAAGGCTAATAAAGCACTGAATCACTTTAACTATCCGTGTGCACACAAGTGCTATCAGAGACTCACCAATTGGCCATAACATTTGGATCTCCATTGTACAGGTGTAAATGGCAGCCTTCCTTGTTCAAGAACCAAGTCCATACACCAGGGCGCACTGCAAAACAAATAATTCTTTTTATAGGTACTGCAATATGAGTGATGCACTGCGGCAAAAGGCTACGGAAAATTCTGTAAACAGCTTGTGGTAATTCTCCGTAGCCCCCTTATCAATATTCTCCGTAGACTCTTACAGTATTTTCCGTAGGACAGCACAGTATTCTCCGTAGGACCTTACAGTGATCTCCGTAGGACTATACAGTCTTCCAGGTCCTACGGAGAAGACTGTGCGGACTTACAGGGAATACTGTACGGCCCTACGGAGAATACTGTAAGAGCCTACGGAGAATATTGATAAGAGGGCTACGGAGAATCCTGGCAAAAAAATTAACGGAATTTTCCGTACCTTTTTGCCACAGTGTGGAGTTTCTCAAAGGTTGAGAAGAAACGGCTGCAAACGTCCAACAACTCATAAAGTGTGCATGCTCCCTTAAAGGAACATGATGCAAGGTAAATAGAAGTAAGGACAACTAAACAGAGAGGTTATGTGGATCAAGGATTGACCCGGACATACCCCAACTAATTGAAGTTTTGCATCAAGTACAGGAAGAGGGCATTTTCAAGGCAATTCAAGGATAAATTCATTTACAAACATATGAAAAGGTGGAGAGAATTGCCATGAGACTCACCTGCGAGGGACAGCCGTTGGGACCGGAGCACCATATTTGAAGGCGGAAAAACGGTTCATTCCGCGTAACTCATCATGCTGCTCATTTCACCAGCGGTTTTGAAGAAGGTAAAGTGTCCACGTGATACAATCCTTGCACTGATTAACATGTACTAACGAAATTCACAAAGCATTCAGGGCGGGGCGCGACAGTTATCCGTTGACCGTTAACGAGTTTGAAAGTAGTTCCTCCTGCGGCCGAGAGAGGGCGGGTGGGACGCATCGATGCGCCGTCGTTCTGCGCAGCTGCCCCTAAGAAAGTTAACAACACAAGCCCGTTCCTTAAGTTCTAAATGATATTTAAATACATTTTAATCAAGTAAGAGAAGTCAAGTGAAGAATTTTTTACCGTTTTTGCGTAACTTTTCACTCTGACCGTGTCGACCGGCCTGCACTGCGACTGCGAATAATCGGGAGGGGGGAGAGGATGGCCTGTGTGGATCACGTTGTAATTTTGGAACGCACCGCTAGAAAACGAGAGTGACTTTCGGTTCGGTGTTTGTTGACAAACTTTCTTTCCATTCCTAGCCATGCAGATCCATGTAATATCCGCGCAAATAGTTTCTGCTTCATTTATCTGTTCCGTCGCATCCGCGCCGTATCAATTTTGTGCCATGTGTCTTTTGTTTTCAAACGCTTTTCTCGACTTTGGTTGGCGTTTCGGGCATAACCCTTCTTAAGCAGTGTTATCGGCCAACTACAAGCTTGTGTTTGAGCAATTCTTTCCCAAGGCAACCAGGCCCAAAACCTTCATGTCTCAGATCCTGCTCCCGATGGTTTTTTAAGATGCCCTAGTAGTAAAGAGTCTCCAAAAAAAATTTCAGATTCTTATGTCTGATAGAAGCCGAGATTTTGGGGTTTTTATGTTTCAAACCTAGGAAAAATTCCACATTGTAAATTTTTCATCGAAACTTTCCCGTCTAAATTTTTTTGAAAAGAGCATGAAAAGTTGAGTCCTTTCCATGCCAGAACGGAATTTTCAAACAATTTTCCCAAGTTTTGACAAAGTTTTAAAATGTAAAAAAAGTGGATTTATTTGAGAAAATCTAATACGTATATTTTTTTTTTCACTTCTCTGAGCTTTAAACGGTGTATTTTTATAGTCCCTAACTCTGGGAAAAATAAAAACTTTACGGATGAAACTCATTCTAAATACCGCAGCCCAAAACCCAATTTCAGTCTTCGCTTTTCGACTAAAGTGTACCCCCAGGCACTGCAGGATGGTTCAATGAGTCAAACCAAATCATCTTTGTATGTTTTTACTCACTAAATATCAAAGCTGAAGTATTTTAAGTACTCTGTTCAACAGATATATCTGTAGATTGCTTATTTGCACTACACTGATAAAAATTTTGTCGTAACTTAGCGACACATTTATCGCTAACTTTTTTAGCGACAAGATTTGTTGTGGAAAGAATAGCTTGTTAAACCGTAGTCGTATTGGAACCAAGGGATAATTTCACAACGACTAACTTGTAATAACGCACCAACAATAATGCATCAACGACAAGTATTGAAAGTCCCAAAGAAATGTTGTAATGTCTGCGGCAATATTCATAGAGTACTTTTGTCGCTAAATTTATTTTGCATGGTTTTTTTTAACAAGAGTAATTTTCCTATGACTTAGAAGAACATAATAGATGATTATTCATAATATGCTTTAATTGAGCAGATAATTGCAAAAGATGTTGTTTCCACACAAATTGTATCGTAAAGAGTGATAACAAGAATTTTGTTCTTCAACGACAAAATGTCGCTTTCTAGACTCAATGACATTTGTTTCGCTATGGTTCATGATGCTTAAAATACTTCAGCTTTGATGTTAAGTGAGTAAAAACATACAAAGATGATTTGGTTTGACTCATTGAACCATCCTGCAGTGCCTGGGGGTACACTTTAGTCGAAAAGCGAAGACTGAAAATAGGTTTTGGGCTGCGGTATTTAGAATGAGTTTCATCCGTAAAGTTTTTATTTTTCCCAGAGTTAGGGACTATAAAAATACACCGTTTAAAGCTCAGAGAAGTGAAAAAAAAAATATACGTATTAGATTTTCTCAAATAAATCCACTTTTTTTACATTTTAAAACTTTGTCAAAACTTGGGAAAATTGTTTGAAAATTCCATTCTGGCATGGAAAGGACTCAACTTTTCATGCTCTTTTCAAAAAAATTTAGACGGGAAAGTTTCGATGAAAAATTTACAATGTGGAATTTTTCCCAGGTTTGAAACATAAAAACCCCAAAATCTCGGCTTCTATCAGACATAAAAATCTGAAAAATTTTTTGGAGACTCTCTACTACTAGGGCATCTTAAAAAACTATCGGGAGCAGGATCTGAGACATGAAGGTTTTGGGCCTGGTTGCCTTGGGAAAGAATTGCTCGTTTTCTAATTTCTCCCGTTTCGTTTTGTTATGCAGAAGTCATGTCAGCATTAAACGGTCAGCAGCCCGGGAACCTCGTGCGAGAGCACTGGAGAGGAACAACACCTTCTTATTTTGAAACTGGAGCCCACCACGACACTGCAGAATTCCAGGTACTGGGCTGTTTTTAAAGTCCTAAGATTATAGTTAGGGTATGTGTGTTGTCTTTTTCCATTCAAGAATAAGTAAGTGCACTTTTTCTTTTGCTTCTAAAGTTCATGTTGCCACAAAGCACCTCGTCAGAATCTCTCAGAGAAGTACCACTTTTGAGGGCAAACTAATTTAATTTTTTTCTAGCAGCTGGATGTGCACCTCATTAATCACCTTTGTTAACCAATTTTTAATTTGTTTCTTTTCAGGATAACGCCCTACCCTAGGTGTTTCCGAACCTGTTGATGATGCAGTCCGCCCACCGTTCCCCTGTTGCCCATGCTCCTGGACTCCGTTCACTCGACTTGTCTTGAGGTGATTATCCACTTTACTGACCCCAGTGGTGAAGCTCGGTGCAGCTATTATTAATTTACTGTTGATATCAATTTGGTATTCCTTATTAATTAGCTACTTAATATTGATCATGGCTTTGTAGTTTTAATACACTGTTCTGTGATTCAATAAGTACATTGGCACTTTGCCGTTCTTCTGAAGTCACTGGGAGGTCATTCTTACGGACATGTATATCTGGTAATGATTCCCACCGGTTATGTCTTAGTTTGCAAGGTTTCAGTCTTCAATTTAAGAAAGTTGCATCACCAAAGACTCATCGTAAATTTTGATAATTAGGAAACCAGCTGAATCCCCAAATAGTTAATATCATAGGTAAACCTTCCTGTTGCGTAATTTGTGAGATATTGATCTAGAGATAGGTGCAGAATTGTGACTGGTTACTGAAGTCAGGTGAACATGAGTGGCACCTCAATTTGGTTTCTGTTCAGTCATGAGCTTTATAGGGCTCCTGTGAGAACAGGCTCACTGTACTTTTCAAATGATCAATCATTGTCAAGAGAACATTGTGAGTACTTTTTTTATCTTAATTCAATTTTCTGTGTATTAGGTCTTTGTTCGAGTTCCTTCATGAAGCCAACCTGCCTGTTTTGGAAGTTCCTTACTCCATGGAAATGGATCATCTTTCATTGCAGGTATCACAAGTGAGTTTTCAATGTAGTGAAGTTGCTCTGAACTTGTTGCAATTTCTAATGAGGAGTGTTAAGGGAAGGTTCAGGTGAAAATCTTTATTTCTTCTAAATTGGTTCCAATGTCAAAATTTTGCAAGACATTTGAAGTATATCGTAAAAATTTACTCACTCAAAAGTAGGGAGTCACACAACATTGTCCAAACTCAGTTAAAGAGGCTTCTTTCCCTATTTACGGCTGTATGTTTTGAAATTCCTATGCACTTCCTCCTTTTTCAATTTAAAGTGTTGGACTTGCCACTTTTTACTGCTTAGAAAATGTTCCAACATTTTCCTACTTGAAAGGCCCATTACAAGTTCATCGATAAGTTGTTGACTGACAAAATGAAAAATTGTTATTGAAATGTACATAATATCACAACTTTAGTGACATTTCAGGTCAGTCTGTAGCTGTTTGAGAGTCAAAGCTGACCATGTATGAATTTGGTGTTCACAGGTGCATCTCCAGTGCTTGCTTTAGGAGCTGCTGCCCTGAAATTTCTGTCGCTGTTCATCCACAAAAGAAAACTGCTCCCTGGGACAACTTCCTTTATTAATGCTAGTTCTTATTTCTTTTGTCTTGTCATCCCTCCAAATTTCAAAGCTTCCATAGTGAGAAAAGAGAGAGATCGAATTTGCCATTCATTGTACACATTTACACCACAGTATTACTCTCCTCAGAGCTTTTTTTTTTGGAATTGAGGAATATAGTTTCCTTGTGGCTTGAGTAAGGCAGTAATGGCCAAGTGTACCTTTGTATACTGTGATGACTCTGGTTTGGCTTGTTTGCATAAGTGATTAACTGATTGCTCAGTATTCTGCAATATTTGATAAAAGATATGTGATTGGAATGATAAGCCGGCACCAAAAATTAATGTCCTTGGAAGTGCACTCCTAGTTCAACTTCTACTTTTCTTTTATTTGATTGAATCCCCAAATCTGTAACTGTTGTGTACCAATGGATCTCCTGGAAGTATTGGAACTACATCACGTTGAAGATCTAACCAATTTGAAGGTATGAAATTTCTGCCACCTACTTTGTCTCACTTCTTTTTCAATGCGTTTTGAACTGATGCTAATTAATTCAATTGAAATGATTTGATTTTACCGTACTCATTCACTTCATGGAATTTAAACAACTAAATCTCCATTCATGGCTTGGTATACAACTAACTGCAAATCAAAGTTTGTGTCCTGCTCTATTTTCTGGAAATTAAAAAATCATGCTGCACAGAATGGTTTGGAAATGAAATGACTGTATTTAGTTTACAAATTAACCCCAATGACACATCACTAGGAAAACAGATACAGTGAAAAAAACTGAAATCGAATTAAATGCAAACAACATTTCATATACTGGACCACTGTGCGTTGCCTGCATGAATTCGAACAAAATTTATAATGCAACATTGCTTTATCAAATCCATCAATATCCTTAGCTGATTATAGGCACCCCTCAAAAAGTCGTAAAAGCAACAGACTCGAACAACAGTGGAAACGTTATTAGGTTGTACTGGAAAATGACAAACAACATGACATTCAACCTTTAATTATCACAAAGGAAAAATACGCATAGGTCACAGAATTAAAATGCAGTCAAATGCAAAAAATTGAACCTAACAATCAGTATTAACACTGCAGAAGATAAAGCAGCTTTTTCAAACGAAAGTCCAGAACCACGCCACAACTAAGAATCAGCATGCTTGCACACGCGTACAACTCGTTGCATTAGAGGCAGCATCTCACTCAGGGTAACTTGAGATGCAATTTCGGAAGAAAACCTAAAAGAAACGAAAAGTTAGTTAATTTTAAAAAAATACAAAGATGCTTTGATCAAGTTCATTGAACAAAGAAAACGTACATTCCAGTAACTCTCTGGAACAGTGCCGCTAAAGTTTCGTCAATCCTGTTAGTTGCCTCTTGAACGAGAAGATTTTTCAGTGTGCAAACTCCTGCATAGGCAAAGTCTGGATTACATTGGTGTTGCAGTATGTTCAGCCACAACACTGAACCGCCAGATGTAACATCAATCTTGACGGAGCCGGGGCAGGTGCGATGTCTGCAGATAAGATATTTTGCGCCACTTTCATTGTTGACATGTCGGACGCTATAGTAAAAGCCACAGTGATACACAGATCTGCCTCGGTTTCCCTTGATTATAATGACAGGCATGGTGGCTTTGTACTTTTGAGGATTGACGGTCCACAGGTCCCTGTAACTCTCGGGGCTAAGAAAATATGGCGGTAAAACGCAACGGGGAACCCACTCGTACCAACTACATTTTTTTAAAATTATTTAACTACCAAAGGAGGCATCGATTGGAACCAATAATATCATATATTGGTTTGATAATTCTGCCTCTTCATGGGACTATACTTCAATAATTTTTTAAAGAACCAGTTTTTGATATTGGAAATCGAAGTTGGTATGAAATTGATCCCCAAGGAGGGTTCCCCACCTCCTGTCCCTGGGTCCGCCGGAAGTAACTGTGACGGACATTCCGTACTGCGTCCAAGAGGAAATTAATTATTTGCAGTACTGCTAATCCCGCCCAAAGCGCCACCGCACCGGCGACCACTTGACGACTTGGCGCCTCCGCATTGTGATTTGAGACTAGTCCTTCCTGCAGAACTACAGCTTTTCAGAAGGCAAGTCACTTAAAACTGATTTAAACATAAAAGATCACTAGTTACAGGAGAATCTCAAGACTAATTTGTAGTTAAACCACGTTGCCAAGAACATCATTTTTCCTTGACTTCGCCCTAGCCCCGTAGATACATAACCTCACTCCGTCTTAAGTGCAGATTTGGGAAACAATAGCACAAAATGAAGCCAGTTTCCACCAATAAAGTATGTAGTAGGTCATTTTAAAATATCTAATAACCTAATTTTTTTCTCGTCTAGATGCCACGCCATCGCTCTAAGCGTGGGCGTGCCTGCACTCAGCAGCAAAGTCCGTATGCGTTTGTGCACTCAGTGGTGCCTGCCCAGCAGGCATCTTATCTGTTCCACCAAGCTGCGTACGCACCTTACACAAGTTACGCACATGCACCCTATGGAACAGTGCCGTTCATGCCTGGAACAATGCCGTTCATGCCTGGAACAATGCCGTTCCTACAGGGAACAATGCCGTTGCTGCAGGGAACAATGCTCCATAACTGGAGCGTCGCAGCGCGAGCGGCACAAGAGGCCTTCACCCTTCCCGGACCTCCACCAGCAATTCCTACCAGCCCTCCCCGCGCCACAGTGGAGTGTCCGGCGCTACCATTGCCAGCCATGAGCACAGGAACTGCTAGCGAGGCGCGAGCGGCACAAGAGACCTCCTCCCTGTCCAGCCCTCCACCAGCAGTGCCACTGCCCACTCATCGTTCCAGACTGCAGACTCCTTCATCTTCCACCTCATTCATGGACGTCTCCACTGCAGCAGTAGAAGCTCTGCCAGACCCTCCTGCGGCAGTGCCACTGAGCCGCCCCGTCCCAGACTGCGGACTCCTTCCCCTTCTGCCTCAGTCAATGACGTCATTTTGATTTCAGACGACGAGGATGAGGTATGATCAACTCAATTATGGAGACGTGGGCACAGGCATGATGAAGGTTTTTGGTTGGGCACAGAGGGTTATCAATTTTCCTAAACACATTTCGACTGTTGTTTGTTGGAACAACAGGAAGAAATTGAAATGTGGAAATGTTAGCATTGGAATTAAAATCTTTACATAAACCATCACAAGTCAGAAAGTATCCAGAGTTGAGGGTTGCATCTGTGGGGAAAAGTTCACGAACCAATAATTATGAAAATAGCTTTTAACAAAACTTGCCTCACAATGATCTTCAGCCCTGCTCAGAGAATTTGATTTCAGTGCTAATTATATCCAAATTTGTACAGTATTGGTCTAAAAATTTTTTTATCTATTCTTCAACAGTGTTGTGGGAATCCATGTAAATTCTTCATCGAAGATGGCAGTCTTCCAGAAGGTAATGTAGACCCCACTGACATTATGTTGTAAATAGCTGCACAGTGAAACTGTACCATGTGTCTCCTTTCCATGTAGACTACTGCACCCTGTGCTGCGAAGACTACAAACTAAATTCATACGTGGGAATCCTGCATGGCTGTCACCACTACAGATGGTGCTATTTGTGTGCGCAGACACTGCTGTGTCGGGAGCTTAAATGTCCTATATGTCGTGAAAAAATAACTGCAGTTAAATCACAACCATATCATGTCGGGCTACTGGAACCCAACAGTCAAGAGGAAATTGAAGGTCCATTAAGTATGGATTAACTGATTAATAAGATGGTTTGTTCAATGTACACCTGTCCTTAGTATTCTTTATCTTCTTCGTGCTGCAGTGACTTTGGAACAAGAGCCACATGTAGATCTAAGGGAGCAAGAGATTCTCTCTGAGCTGGAGGAGGTCCCAGCCGCTATGAAGGCAACAAAAGAGGCAAGTTGGTTGAAATAATATACAATCTTTTAAGGAGATGCAGTATATTTTAACATTTTTAATGGGAACTCTTTTTACAGGATGCTGACAAATTGAAGCAGGATGCTGCAGAAATTTTGAAGGTTGTATCTACCCCAGCTTGCCGTAGACATCTCCGGAGCATTGCTCGAGGAGTCACTGAAAGTGAACGACACAACAATTACCAGGAAAGTGGCATGCTGTATAGCGGTCTTGGACCATTCACTCTATTTGAGGACATGGTAAGTGGATGAGGAACATCCTTGTGCACGAGGATGTTCGTGCATGTGTTTTGGTACATGCTACATTACAGATCTTTCAGAGCGTAACATTTTCCTTTCACCAATGTACGTGTTCAAAAATCAAATCAATAGGTAGTGTGAATTTTGTTTGCAAAGTATAGTTGAGCAACTGTGGACCAAGATCTGGAATTGGGTCACGGATTCGGTTCAATTTTTGTGGGTTCAATAGGTACCACTACGACCTATCAACCCTACAAGGAAAGTTTATGAGGGGTGTGAGGAATTTAAATCTGAGGAAAATGTGATGCTTCAGCCAAAAGTGGATTTGTGGTTCATTAGTTAGCTTTCTCTAGTAGGATTGGTGCTCTTCTAACCCTGAGAATGTTCCTCCTTGATAATCAGTGTTAAAACCCTCATTTGGTATGGGGTTGTTGGACTTAAGATTTCAACGCATTAACAAAGTAATGATCCATTTATTTTGGTTGTTTCGCAACGTGTAAGCTGAACCCCTTAGTCTTAAGTCATCCAGTTGGTCTCAAAAATTTACAAACCAAATGGAACCAGGCTGAGTTATTGAGACTAAGCGGTTGAACTTATACGTTGCAAACAACCTAAATAAATGGGTCATTACTTTGTTAATGCGTTGAAATCGTAAGTCCAACAACCCCATACCATTCTTATATATTTCTTTGCAGAAAACTCAACTCCTAGAAATAATAGATAAACAATGCAGGAACGATCCAGTATATCAGTGGAGTGTTATGATACCAGAGGTAAAACCAGACAAATTGTGAGATTAGAGGTGGTCAGGTCCAAACACTTACTTCTGATATCTCACTGTTTCAGGCTGTCATTTTTGGAGCTCAAATTATTTTTAAAGTCTCCAAGCCAGATGCTGTGGCTTACTATGAAAAGACAAGTAAGCTTGTAGCAGTCCAAGAATAGAAGATCTAATAGAAAATTGGTGAGACTTGGTGCAAACTTGCACCAATGTGAGGTGGCACTTGCAGGTCACTTGTACATCTTTCATTAGTAATATAAATCATTTTGCAAGTCATGCAAACATTTTAGTTTAAAGTTTACATTGTTTTCCTTGTTGGATTGTGACCAGCACCAAATCCTTGTTATTCAAAACAAAGGCATCAGTGTAATGTGAGGTGGCACTTGCAGGTCACTTGTACATCTTTCATTAGTAATATAAATCATTTTGCAAGTCATGCAAACATTTTAGCTTAAAGTTTACATTGTTTTCCTTGTTAGATTGTGACCAGCACCAAATCCTTGTTATTCAAAACAAAGGCATCAGTGTTAAATACATCTAAAACATATTACTGTCTAGAAGATTTTGTTCTTACCCTATCTCTCCACAACATATGGAATGAATCGGACAGGGGTCAAAAAGATACCTTTTGTATCAATACTGCACAACTTTATTGCACCAGAACAATTACCATTGAAGTCCAAATGCAAAAACAACATCTTAATTATGACTTGTCTAGGAAGACAAAGCTTGAATTTTAGGGGAAAAATGCAATGTTACTAAAATTGTAATTCTACATACACATACAGGGAAAAAAAATTTGGTACAAACAATTAAAAAATACTACGACATTAGTAGCAGAAGAGAAGACCAAGTTTTGCCTAAGCAAACAAAGCTCATGAACTTCAAGGTAAAAAATACAATGTTACCAAAATTGGAATTTCTACATACACATACAGTAAAAAAAAATTATGTACAAACAATTAAAAGTACTAAGACATTAATGCTGAGCAGAAGAGTAGACCAACCTTAGTCAAAAACTTCAATCCAGAAAGAAAGCCCCCTACCTCCTCCTTCTCTGTCCCCCTGCACCAGTTTGCTGTGCTCTTGGCACTGGCTCTCTATCTCTCACAAGGTCATCAACAGCCCCCTGGATAAGTTGAGAGACTCGGTCAATGAAATTCCATATTGTCCCTTCTCGGTCATGGAAGATGTCCCTTTCTAGGTAATCGCACAAGGCATGAAGGGTTCTGTCTGCATACACAGATTTCCAGCGACGAGCTGTCTTGGCATCACCCCCTACCCGCATGTGTAGATAGTCAAGGTAAGCATTGGCCAGGGTGTTCCGGCGCCGCTCGGTCTCGGTGGCCAAGGTGTGCATTTGGAGGACAGTGGAACGGCCGGCAGCGACATACGCCGCCGAGACGCTCACCCTGACGGAAACCCTGGAGTCGTGCCTGGCCATCATGGAGAACAAGGCGCGGCCGGCCGCAGGCGCCGTGTTCCACAAGGTTAATCTCCTGGCGCAGCGTCGAGGAAGTCCGGGCCATCACGAAGGTGCCCTCCATCATCAACGTGATCCTCCAGCTCCGCGCACTGTACGCCGGGCACCTCGCCCGCGGCCTCGCCCCCCGGCCACCTGCGCCGTGTTCGTCGCGCCGCCACACCCCCCAAGATCCCGCCCGATCGCCGGCGTCCGGAGGCGCTACAAAAACCACGTGCAGCGCGACGTCAAGACCGTCCAGGTCCATGGCTAGGAGTGGCCGGACGTAGCGTGGGACCGCGACGTCTGGAGGACCATGAGATAAGCCGTATCCTGGACGATGCGTACCCGCACGTGGTGAAAGCTGAAGCGGAGCGGCTATTAACAATACCTCAGAGGAGCGTCCGAGCTTTTACCTGTGGGAACGGACGCCGCAGCGCCCAGTGGCCCGTCATCGCACACACACGCGTCCGAGAGGAGCCGTAAAGGGGCTCTCATCTCGAAGGCGGGGGCGGGCGCGGCCGCCCGGCTGTATCTCGCCAAAGGCGAGGGCCGGCGGCACGCGCCTGACGAGGTGCCCGCCAGAGGCGGCCCCGGGCCAGTGCAGCGCACGGCACTCCCTGCCGAGGCATAGAGACCGGCCACAGCGAGGCCCCGGAGACGCCGTCGTTGGCGGCGCCCAGCTCCGTGCAGCGCGCAGCGCAGAGGCTGGCCACAACGAGGCCGAGGCCGCCGCGGCTAGCGGCGCCCAGGGAGCGAAGGCAGAAGGCCTGGCCACACGACGTTCTGTACACCCGGCCGCGCGCACCACACACGACAGACCGACACAACAACACAGGCCCCTGCCAGAACCCACGTAGGCTACACGTCGTACCCAGACGATGCACAGCTGCCCTCCCTACGCGAGTAAACAAAGCCCAGTCGAACAAGCACCCCTGGTGCGTCGTCGCACCAGCCACCGTTCGGGCACCACCCGGAGCCGATACCAATGGCTAAGTCGACTGAGTACGCCCGACGCGGTGTAACAAGATGGTGCCGCCACCACAGTGTGCAGCACGTAGGTCCGCGAGCAGGCCGTCACCCCCGCCACGCTGCACCAAGCTGTCGCTAGGCCCCGCAGCTCACAGGCACCGTCAGCCTCCGGGGCGAGGGCCCGGCCACGCAAGGCCGTCGGGTGGGTACAGCGTCAGCTACGCCACGATGCAGCAAGCAACGGGCACCGTCAGCCTCCAGGGCGAGGCCCTTGGACACGCCAACGCTTAGGAGACGGCAGCTGCCCGGCCACGCGAGGCCGGCGGCCGAGCCGTCAGCCTCGTCGCCCCGTGGTTTTGTTATCTTTTCGCCTTTTTAACTGAATGTTGCATTAGCTCTACGGTATCTGTGTAGGGCGTGGCAAGCGGCGAATCGCCCTGCAGAAGAAAGTCGAAAAGAATAATCGAACGTGAGGGCTGTGGGTGCGGACATAGCCCTCGACACACGGCCCCTCAAGGAGGCGGTTCGTATCAGCCGACCGGCTCCTGATGCCCTCGAGGCGTCGCAGAGTCGGTCGTCGGTCGCACTCCCAGCAATACTGCATCCAGACGGTTTAGTTGCCCGGACTAATTGCTCCCTATGACCCGCGGCATCCAGCGGCACTCGCCCGCGCCGACCGCCATGAGGCGACCCTTACCCATCCATCATGCCAATCTGGCCAGACACGAGCACCTGTGGTCCGGCCTTCAATAGCCTTCAGCGTAGGCAATCGCGGCATTTCTAGACTTGACTGCGCGGCGGGTTGCCTACCCCGAACTTACGATTGCGATGGACGCTCTACGAGTGCCATTGAGACGGCCTCACGGAAGCACTGCCCAGAATTCGGAATGGCCCTGCTGGTTGACCGTGACCGTTGTCCTTCCCTTCCCTTCCGGGGCTCGGGCCAGTGGCGCTGGTCGCCGTGTGGAGGGATCCCGCCGTCTGCGCCTTGCTGCTCGCGGCTAGGTGGTGCACCCCGTGGTGGATTGGCAATGCTCTCCTGGCGCCGGCGCTTGGGCCATGACAGAAGCCACGGGAAAATTGACGTGGCCCCTGCCAAGGCCAAGGTAGGCAACCAAACGCGCACCTGTGGTTGAAGCAAGCATGGAGAGCAAGCCTGCCAGGCGCCTAGTACGAAAGGATTACGTTCGCACTTTTCAGCACGAAAGTCAATTCGCCACGCAGCCGCTTCAACTGACGTGGTGTAGAATTTTTAATTATTGGCGAGCGATAGCGAGCCCTTGCCGTGTTTGGGCGCTCCAAAAAGTGACTGGTCGTGCGTCTGTCTGTCTGTCTGTCTGTAGCGTACACGCTCACGTTTCTCAGCAACTACAACACTAATAGTTACCAAATTTTGCACCGAACATCCCCTAAAGGTCCTACAGGGGGAGTTTATCTTGTATTCACGATTACTACCGTTTGAAATATTCAAAACATCTTTTTGAATTAGGTTCTTAGCGTGGTTAGGTTGGCAGCATATACAGCAATTTTTCATACTTGCGGCCGCGGCTCTCAAATACGGGACTGGCAAAACATTGGCAAATAAAACAAAATAGAGAGGAGAAGGGCTTAGAAGTGAGTTCGGTCTTAGTTTTTCGATATTCTAGAATGATTGAAACCTCTCCGGAGTGTCAACACAGTGAAATACGGAAAATGAAAGTGACAATGATTACGCGTTTCGTCCGTCCGTCCGCCCCCTCCCCTCCCCGCCACAGGGGAAATGTTTTTGTCAGTGGAGTGTGTTTGATCGTTTGATAATTGCAAGAATGATTTGGTCTTTTTAAGTTTTGAGAGTGTATTTCCATTTTTATTCTCAGACATTATACTTTTTAGTTGTTTGCTTTGCTCAATAACAGTTAGAAAATAGATCAATGCAATCTAAAAGTACAAACCAGACACTAATCTTGCCAAAATAAATAGTTTTTGCTGACTCTTGGCACTGACTCTGGGGACAGGCTTCATAGCAATGCTGTAAGTTTACTATAGTACTAACCTTAAAGATAACTATATGGTGAGTGAGAGTAGCGCATACATGGTTTGACTTTGACATCTGATTCAATGAGACGATTCAGTGACTTGGTCATATGATTTCATGAGACGATTCTTTTAACTTCATCATATATTGTCTGCGACAACTGGTAATTTTTGTTGGTCATAGTTTGAGTTGACTCTCTTTTTAATTTACTAAGAATGTTAGGTAAATACTTATGCTATACTGTTTTTAAAAATTAAATATCACATCATGACTATCTTTTTGAATAAGATTAACTTGCGTTTAGCAATAAGTGGGCTCGACATTGAATCAAATGGAACGATTCGTTGGATCTGACAGAAGGTCTTCTCCGTAAAGTAGTTGCAATCAGCCTGCCTGTAAATGTGTCTCTTTTTAATTAATTGAGATAAATCAATGTAGTTTTATCCACTAGTTTAAAATAAAAGGGGGATAAAAGGCGTTTTAGGTATTACTTATAACATTGTGTATTCATAAGTTTAATAACAAGGAGATATCGAATGGTAATTGAAGCATTTGTGAATCGTATTAAGTAATTCAATGCTGGCTGTTGAATGTTACTCGACTGAGTAACAGTGTCAGGGTTCATGTTACGACACAATGAACAGGAAACACACTTAGAAATCGCGAAAATGACTTCCAATTTTATCCCAGACCATTACTTTTCCCAAAATTTACCAATTTCTGACCAAAATTTTGAAGTCGTGTTCTGCATAGTTTCCTGCAGTTTTGGGTGTGCTGATCACGAAAATGACTTCCAATTTCATCCCAGACCTTTACTTTTCCAAATATTTACCAATTTCGGACCAAAATTTTTGAGTCGAGTTATACATAGTTTCCTGCAGTTTTTGGTGTGCTGATCACGAAAATGACTTCCAATTTCATCTCAGACCTGCACTTTTCCAAATATTTACCAATTTTGGACCAAAATTTTTGAGTCGAGTTTTACATAGTTTCCTGCAGTTTTTGGTGTGCTGATCACGAAAATGACTTCCCATTTCATCTCAGGCCTTTACTTTTCCAAATATTTACCAATTTTGGACCAAAATTTTTGAGTCGAGTTTTACATAGTTTCCTGCAGTTTTTGGTGTGCTGATCACGAAAATGACTTCCAATTTCATCTCAGACCTTTACTTTTCCAAATATTTACCAATTTTGGACCAAAATTTTTGAGTCGAGTTTTACATAGTTTCCTGCAGTTTTTGGTGTGCTGATCACGAAAATGACTGCCAATTTCATCCCAGACCTTTACTTTTCCCAAAATTTACCAATTTGTGACCAAAATTTCAAAGTTGAGTTTCCCATTGTTTCCTGCAGTTTTCAGTAAGATAATCACGAAAATGACATGAATTCCGGCCCTTTAGTGACGGAAGACACTGTATTGGCCTTATTGTGCGCATATTCTTCGCCATCTCCTATAAGAATGTGTTCAGACGCATCGCTCGCCTACTACGCGCCCAAACTAAACGGCGCGTACTCCTAGTTTATTGAAATCACCAAATAAATGCACTTGATCTTCAAGTAGAGTCGCTACCGCTTCTGCCCGCTAGGGGCGCAGCGTTCACCGCCTTGCCGCGAACGACACAACACGTTCCGGCTGCCGAGTGGGCTTAGAATAGCTCCCCTCATGTCCTAAGAGAACGCCGCTTGCTCAGGACCTGCAGCCCTTGAAGCGCCTGTGAGATAGGCCACCGGCCGTCCCGCAACACACCTGTGAGGAGACGGTGGCCTATCTCACAGGCGCTTAATGATGCACCAGAAGGGAGGTGGCGAAAACGGAGAGGCGTGGCGGAGGGCGCAGGGCCTGCCTGCACCTCTTGTCTATCGCGCACGCCTGCGGTACGCGCACGCCTGATTGCAACAGGGACAGGGCAAATAAGCCTGCTGGCCGGGCGGCCGGGCCAACGAAAAAGGAGCGTGAGGCGTCGTAGCACACTGTGCGGCCCGCCGGACCAATCAGGGAAAACAATTCAGGAACGCCATTAAAAATTAATCGCCTTTCGCTTTGCGGGCCGCGAGGGCCACGGCGGGCCGCTTGCAGGGGCAGGCCGGACAGACTGAGGTGCGCGTCGACCCGCTCGGACGCTGTGACCCCGGCACGTGTTTGGAGCTGGCTGGCGCCAGCGGCGAGCGTCTCTCCCTCGCACTCACGGGTAGTGTTCCGCATCGGGCGGGTCGTACGGATTTGCACCGCCCGATGGCGCTGGCAGCCTTCGGCCCGATCCGGCCCGCCCGATGAGCAAGCGGCTCGGGGCATCGGGCGGCCGTCAACCCGATCGTCTTGGCTACTTTTGCCGACTAGAGGGCAGCACCTGTCGGGACGGTTTGTGTCACATGCAGGGCGAGGGTCGAGGAGGGGCTGCTTCCGAGCCAGCCGATGTCCAAGCCGTGTCTTCGGCGGCACTTCGGAGCCACTTCGGTTTTTGAGTTTCGATGACACGTCGCGGTGCAGCGCTGCGATCGAATTTTCACAGAACCCGACCGACCCGCCCAATGCGGAACACTACTCACGGGACGCCGCGTGAGTGCGATAGAGGCAGCGCGACGAACACGACTCTCGGAATCCGTCTGCCGGCCTAGCGGCACTAGAGGACTCGCACCCTGCTTGACCAGCCGGGCTTAGTCGGGCCTGGCCGGGCCACGGGGGCCACGGAGTGGTCGGGACGTCGGGGCACAGTGGGCCAGAAGACCGGTGAAGGCGGTCAAAACTCAAGACGCGTTTTGAGCTGCAGAGTCGCGAAATGAGACTTGAACTGAACGTGTGACCCCACCAAGGGATACCTCGTTCGGAGAGCAATCCATTGGTGGGTTCACACGTTCGATTTGAGTCCCACTTAGCGACTCTGGAGCTCAAACCGCGTCTGGAGTTTTGGCCGCCTCCACCGGTCTTCTGGCCCACTGTGCGGGGACCGCGCTGCACTGCCAATAAAAGTGTGTGACAGTCTCACACTATTTAGTGCGAGACACTGTGCCTCACGCTTACAAGCGTGAGCCACGTTTGTCTCACGGTTCCAAGTGTGAGACACCATTTGTCTCACACTTACAAGTGTGAGACACGGTTTGTCCCACACTTGCTGCCTGTGGTTTTCTTTGGTTCAATGCCACAGGACCCACTCTTGCAGACAAACGGTGTCTCACACTTGGAAGCGTGACACAAACGGTGTCTCACACTTTGAAGCGTGAGACAAACGTGGCTCACGCTTGTAAGCGTGAGACACAGTGTCTCGCACTAAATAGTGTGAGACTGTCTCACACTTGGATTGGCAGTGTGGAAACAGGAAGCGCGTCGGCAACGCCCCGGCCTGCCGGAAGGGCCTCGGCAAGACCGACTGCAAAGCTTACGCTCCAGCGTCGAAAGGGTTGCCAACCTCAGCGAAGACTCCACGGAGCGCCTGACAGGCAGCGCCACTCAACTCCCCTGCGCGAGAGTTGCCTACCCCGCGCTCCGCAGGGGCTCCGCGCGCCTGCGGACGGCAGGGTAGGCAACACTGCACGACTCCCGTGCAAGGTTTGCCTACCCCGCACTTCGCAGGCGCTCCGACTGGCCGGCCCGTGTCTCAGCGAGAGGCCCTAAAGCGAAACACAGTGGATTGTGGGGCCGAGCCGTTCGCTGTCAAACGACACCGGTTTCTGATGCAAGCGCCACCCTTCGGCACGGAGACCACTCGCGTGTTGCCCAAACGGTGTCGCTCTTTCTCTCTCGCACTCGCGAGGCGGTCCGCAGGGGTGCGAGAGAGGCAGAGCGACAGGCATGCTAAGGAGGCCAACCCGTCATTAACGCCACCCTTATGTCACGGTATCTCCGGAAAGAGTTCGGAACTCGCCTCGCCCAGGGCGTCGCTCCGTGCTTATTGGGCGCATCTCGGTCTTTGGCGCCGGCGAAAAAAGAAAAAAGAAGAAATCGGCTGGTACCTGTGGTCTCGCGACTCCCTGGGCACGCAGAAGCAGAGCAAGCAGAAGACGAAAGCATCTTCCTCCACCGGACCGTGCGACGCCTGCGTGCAGCGGGTTGCCGACGGCTTGCGCGCTAGGCGCTCTGGACGACTCGGTTAGGAACCACGTAAGCCATGATACAATCGTCCGATCGTCCGTCTACGAACTGGACGCGGGCCGTCACGTCGTGTAGCAGCGCGCAACAGTATCTTTCACGGCCCTGTCCACGGCCCGCTCCACGCTACTAGTACACTGCAGTGTGGGGTCCAGGGCAGGGGCCAGCCGCGCGTCACACCCAGCAGGCTCAATTCGAGAGTCGTTTTCGTCGCAATGTCTCTCTCGCACTAATGGAGCGTCCTGCAGAGGTTTGCTGGGGAAGTCCTCGCGACCTGGCACCCCAACATCAGCATGGTGGGCGAGAACCCGGGCGTCCCGTGCGAACGTCCCCCCTGCCCCAAGTGATTGGCCAGACCACAAGGGGATGGCATGAAGTTGAACAAGACTGTGGTGCGGTCGCCTCGGGAGAAGAGTGCCACTTGTCGCAGCTTGCCCGCACTGCCACGGTCCTCGGTGCGCACGGGGATGATCACGGGGCCCAAAGAGCACGCCCGGAGTGCAGCAGCGACACCGCGTCACTCGCTCCAGCGCCACACTGCGTGAACCACCGCCGTCTCCAGGCCGCGGTCGAACCTCTCCACGCACGGCCACAAAGTCCCCGCCAAGCAGGCTCCGGCACCGAAGGCCCTCCACGTGCGCGTCCAGCACTCGGTTCTCGCTCCCACCTGCCGCCGCGGGGGGCGGCTGAGGGAGCGGCACCGGTCATCTCCGCGTCGGTCAGGGCTTGGCTTGCCTCGGCGTCGGCAGACGCAGCGCCGTCGGGCAGGCCGCTTTGTCCGGGACTCCCTTTGGCCTTCCCCATCGCAGCTGGGCTCTTTGCCCTTGTTCGTAGGCAACTTTTGTGAATTGGGGTGGAGAAAGGGAAAAAGGGGAAGGGGGCAATATTAATGTTATTGCTGGCTAAGGGTGAGAAAAGTGAGAAATATTCAAGGATCATAGATGTTTCAATCCTCGGAGTTCAGCCCCCGTCAACAATGACAACAATGGCAACAGTGGTGGTGGCATCCCTGTGCCCTTTAGACTATCGAGTCAAGGCTGATCATCTGCCTCTGCTTGCATCAAAGCGTTTCTTACCTCAAAATTTAGATAAGAGAATTGGAGAGCAGGATTGTTTGAAAGATCATTAGTGTAGACACTGCAAGGTGAGCAATTTTTTAGTTAATATACCTCATGAACAAGAAAGTTTCTGCATTAAAGTTACACCTCTGCTGGAGGCTCTACTTTGTTTTATCCATAGATTGAAGATTATTGTCAATTCTGGTTTTAAATTCACTCTATACAATGCCAACCTACTTTATCTTTTGAGTGGTGCTTTTATTTTTAACAGTTTTGATGTTGCTTAGGTAAAAAACGCCATAGACCTAATTGGGGTTCTTTTCTTTTACAGTCTATTAATTATTTTCTTAATGAACAATGCCTGCAAAGGGATGGAAACCAAAAGAAAGAAAGAAAGGGTACAGAAGATTCTTATGCGCTCCACGCAAGGGTAGTGGGAGGAAGGTCCGACAAAATCAGGATATTCCAAGACAGGAAATCGAAGCTATTGTCGATGTTGATCATGCTGTTTATGGTGATGATGTTCTTAATGAAGGATTTCTCGGCTTTGATGTGACTCCACCACAACAGGTAGTTTTTTAAGCATTATCGCTTTTTCTTTAGATAAATTTTTGACAAATAACTTAAAAATTGATTTTTTATTTTTTCTGTTTAAAGTCCATCAAAGTTTTGTCTTTATTCGATGGCATAGGAGCAGCTAAAGTAGCGCTTGATGCCGTGGGAATCCAAATATCTGAATATATTTCAAGTGAAATAGATGAAAAGGCCATTAAAGTCCTAAAGTATCATTATCATGACAAAATGAAGATGGTAGGATGCGTAAAGTCGCTAACAGAAGATAAACTGTCTGAGTTTGGATCGATACACCTTCTCCTCGCTGGAAGCCCATGCTCTGATTTCAGCCTTTGCAACCCGGCTAGAAGAAATTTGCATGGTGCGCATATGCTGACAAAAATTAATACATTTAACAAATTGATTCTAAGATTAAAACTTATTATAGGTGAGGGTTCAACTGGTCAGCTATTTTTTGAATTCAAACGCATATTAGATTATCTCACTGAAGCTGCCAGAGTTCATGGCCATGATTTTTATTGGCTCTTTGAAAATACATTCTCGATGGAAAAAAACACAAAAGATGAGATATCAAGGTAATTTTTGTAGTCCTGTCAAACAAATTTTTGCTAATTGTATGAAACAAGATTGTGTAGTTTAAATTTGTTATTTTAAGAATTTGCATGTCTGTAAATTTAATGTCCCTGATTTTCCTTTAGTTGCCTTGGTTGCAAACCCGCTATCAAATGCGCTACATCCCATAGACCAATGAAAAGAAAGAGATGTTTCTGGGGCACAGTTCCAGGATTATATTCTCCAGAAGACACACCAGTCAATCATCAAGTTCTGCAAGACTATTTAAAGCCCTATCGGAAAGCAAATGTCTCAATCTTACCTACACTAACAAGCTCTTCATATTCCCAACGTAAGTTACATCTGTTTTATGGTCTGTGAAGTAGCGAGATCTTTTAAAAATTTATAATAATACTTAGGTTGTTTCTTTGAAGGGAAAGGCCGGAAATTGCCTATAACTGAGGATGACCAAGATGGCTACTTGTACATCACAGAAGAAGAGTCAATCTTTGGGTTTGAAGAACATTATACAGATGTTAATTTATCTATTACTGACAGACGACGACTTTTGGGTCGCTCTTGGTGTATTCCTGTTATAAAATCACTTCTTCAACCCCTTGCTGATGTACTGAGAGAAGGTGGCTTCAGGGTGTAGTTAAAATTAATTAATCCTTAGTCCCTAGTACCAAATTATTTATATTTTATACTTAATTTTTACAAGTCATCATCTACATTAGAGTCCTCTTGTTCATCATCTTTTTCAGCAAAGAAATCATCAAATTTATTATTGAGAGCCCTTAGTTTTGAATGTATTATTCTTGAGCATGCGTGCCGCCCTACATCCTTTGTCGGTTTCTTGTGGCCCTTGGCTGGGTTAATGTCAGCAATGCATCTATAAGAAAAGATTTATTTATCATACAAAGAAGAAACTTCAATTAATATCAATGAAATAAGTCTCTTTTGTTACCTTTGAACAAACTCTAAAGTAACTTGGGCTGTGGCAGCATACATAATGTTAAAAACAAAATATGAGGCAAACAGCACGCACAGACAGCCACCCTCGAAACAAGCGCAGTACCCTCCGCCCCTTCCAAGCCTTACGTAAGCCACCATTCTTGTAGAATTTCTTTTGTAACTTTAAACCATGTTTTTTTTTTGCCAATCCTTTTTAAAAATGGAAATGCTTTGCAGCTTTGATAGAGTTTTTAAAAAATGACAGTCTTCAATTGATTTTTTTAAAATCCCAAGAATCCCTTTGCCAAAAATGTCTACCTTTGCAAAAAATTTACTGCAGTGCAAGAACTGCCTAATGGATCAGGGTGGTACTGAGGGTTAATGTGGTTCTACTTGTCCCTATGTTAACTGGCAAGTAAGAACCCCTTTTTCAAATCGTTTGGAAATACTACATGGTCACCCTCACCTTAAAGGTGCTCTAACATGAAGCTAAGAAGTCCAGTGTTGCTGTTTTGATAAAACTTAGTGCTTTACAGTCTCTTAATCTGTACAACTGCTGTCAACACTGCAGTCTGACACTGACTTGAAAGGGTTGGACTTGAGTATTAAAAAGAGACACCTTTCACATAAAGAATTTATTTAAAAAAAAAGTTACATTTATATATGTTATATATATATAAATATATAAATATAGAGAGAAAGAGTATTTCAACATTACGAATAGTTAAACAATTACTAGAATTAACACAATAGTAAAGCCCTCTTAGGCAGTCAAAACGTACATGACAAAAAGGTTGAAAAGATTACAAAAAAAGTTTAACATTCAGTGGAATTAACATTAATTAAAGCAGTCTTAGGTGCTTACCTTATATAGGAGGTAATCAAGACATACATGACAAAAAGTTTTTAAAAAAATAAAATCAGATTAACATTCAGTGGAATGAACATCTTGACATAGCAATCTTCAATGATTAGGTAGGTACATAATAAAGACCTACATGACTAAAAGTTTAAAAAGATTACAGAAATAAAATCAGTAGTATTCTAAGTTATCATCCTCATCCTCCGAAAATTCATTTCCAAAGTCTGAAAAAATAAAGAAGAATTAATGAATAACTGTTAACAACCAATCAGATATTTCATGGAGATAATTTTTCAGGCAATATTTACCAGGCTGTTTGGATTTTGAGTTCCTAGTAGCCTTGGGCTGGGACTCCTTCTGCTGGTTCTGCTGGCGCAGGGCCCCAACCTTGTCTCGAGTGCTTCCACCTTGCCTTCGGCTAGTTCTCCTGGTAGCTGGTTCTTCAGAAGACTGCTCCTTATTGGCCCATTCCTCAGCGTCTCTTTTCAGTTTAGAAACAGTGGCTTTGTTAAGTGACCCATTCTTTCTTCCTGCTTTAGCTGTAACACCATGTTTCAAAACTTTAATTATCTAAACACCTTTGAAGTGCCAAAATTTATTTGAAGAAAACAGTGACTTACCATCTGTTGGCTTGGCAGCTGCCTTAGAGGTTGATGCCTTCGATATTTGAATGGGGACTACATCATCAGCCTGGAAACGTAAAGAGGCATTTAAAAAAAACACGACAAATTGAGGCTAGCTTCCTTGAACATTTTAATGATTCCAAAGTTGTGAGTCGTCGTAACATGACCAATATGACTAAGGAATAAAGAGAGAAAAAAAATTGCAAATAAAGCTACTGAAAAGTAAAAATTCTTTGGTCAAGAATATTTTTGCCAAAGCAAATTTGCTTTCTAGAAGGTGAACTTAAGCCTACAGTTAGAGGCCAGAGCTCTCATTGGTGTCTGAGTTGTTGTGGTTTATGGATCCTATTTGAACGCTCCAAAATCCCCTCTCAATTACCCAAAATGTTTCCAGTCTTAAGGCTCTGGTATATGATTCTTACAGGACCTAAAAATAAGATAACACAAAATTTTTCACATCATCTCTATTGGGTTTTAACCACTAAATATTTATTGTGCAAATACAATGAGAAAGACTCAAATCATGTGTTCTTTACCCAATTTTTTGAGCAACTTTTGATTAAAATGTAACAGAGATAATAGGTTATTCAGGATTAATTTGAAAGAAGCTGAAGACTGGCAAATTTATTGAGTATTTGTGTAAGAAGTTTGGTGGAAGCAAGCTTTCAATACAAACCATACCTTATTCATTACATTATTGAGAATACATACCTCAGACGAGCCTGGCAGGTACATTCCACAATGCTTAGGATTCCCCTGCACAATTTCTGTTTTTTCAGCCTCTTCTTCCTCCTCCAAAAAACAGTCCTCTGAAGCATTGGAGGCGATTGTAGCACACTCGAGAATGTCATCATTGGGTGAACTGGTGGAAGCACTGTGTGTACTGGGGACACTGGCAGCACTCGGTGCGATTGAGACAGTGGCAGAACTTGAAGCAGTTGTGACTATTGGAGCACTGGCACTTGATGAGGCAACCACCATGGAGGCACTGTTCCCTGGTAGTGGAGCACTTGCAGTCGATGCCGGTCCACCAAAAGGGCCAATGGAACCCACCTGGGGCATCATCATGCCCGGCTGCATCATTTGCATTGGCATGTTTCCATTCATCATGGAATGCATCATGGGCATGTTTCCATGCATCATTCCCATCATGTTCTGGTGCAACATGTGCTGCATTGCAGGCATATTATGTTGCATCATAGGCATTTGAGCATTCATGACAGGCATGTTTGGAGGCAACATAGGTTGCATCATGGCCATGTTTCCATGCATCATCCCCATAAAGTTCGGGTTCATAAAGCTCATGGGATGAATGGCCTGCATTTGGGGATGCGTAGAGTCCATGTACGGATGTAATTTCCTCTTCTGTCCGCGTTTATGAGGCATCGCTGCAACATATTACAAAAAGATGAGTATAGGATATAAAAAAAAAGTGGCCATAACTGCTTTTGAAATTTTAATTCAAGACCATAATGGCATATTGAATTGAGAACTTGACTTGGCAGTTTAAATGCAGCAACGCCACTGCCCCCCAGTCTTAGTTCATCATGTTCACATTCTTTCTCCAGAACCCACGGATTTAGCATTATATAACCAGCACTTGGAAATTTTTTTGACGGAATTCTACTTGTTACCCATCCCCACACCCCGACAGCCTCCCATGGGAACACATGCCAAAAAATTACGATGTTAAGTGACTAGATATATCTAGATAACTCGACGTAAAAGTAGTATTCCTTTGACAGAAGTGTCGGGGTGATATTTTACATTAGTTTCAGCACAGATTTATCTTGATCTAGTTACTTTCGTGTAGCTGGTAACCACCAAGTGATGCGGTTGTTCATGTGCAATGAAACGTCACGCACAGTTTGAGAATGGTGTCACAAAACTTTTAGGCATGAAAGTCACAGGAAAAAACTCCGATGTACGTTACAATATTAATGAACACCACGTCTATCAAATCAATGTGCGACCAAGATCCAGCGCTTCGAGCACGCATGCACCAAGGTTATGAGACCAACTCTAAGTTGTAACGATTTCGAATAGAAATCGATTTACACTCAGATTAGAATGTTTGAAGGGACTATAGTTTAGTGTAAACCACTTACCTGAAGTCAATTTTAAGCCAAATTCTAATGTGAAGGAATCAATGACGAGCCGCACGCGGGCAAAACGGAAATGGATGCACCTCAGAGCAGCTTCCTTGACAGTATGAGAATTTTAAAGGTTTTCAAAGCTTTCTTCCGCATGCTGCATTTCTCATGGCTATACGTAGGCGAGGCGGCGTTGGCTTCCGCTTCCAGTTCGTGTCGTGGTTGGTCGTGGTTTTAGTTTTTTCTGATCGGTTTCGTGCGGAATTGATGGCTTGAAATTCCTGAAGTGGTGTGCTTGACGCGCTTCTTTTCTAGTTTCAAAATGAGGTGGTCCATATCAGCATCATTTACCTTGCTTCTGTAAGAAAGACTTAATTTAACCTCCTTGCTGCCTTCTTCGCTCGTTAATCATTCATTACTTAATCAATCCCTTTTTATTTATGTTGTTTTATTACAGAGCACTGAACCTATTGAATTTTTTTTGTGATGCTGTGCGTCTTATTAGAGAGCAAGGATTCAGGGGCAACACTTACTTTTACCACACTGGAGAAGGTTCACATGCCTACCATTATCAGCTGGAGACCCAGAGCTCAATTTATTTTAAATGTGTGCAGGCCTACAAGTTAAAATGTGGTGGAAGGGCCGTTCTGCGGTTGGGTGGTAACTTCCGTACCACACAGCCCCACAATCACCGTCCAAGCCCTGACTTGGTTGGAGAGAGGCACTTCAGGGCAAATGTACTGAATCAAGTGAGGGACGCCCGTTACGTGTCATTCCAGGACATACTTGATGAAGCTCGGCGGAACCTACGGTAATTTCACATGGTGCACATTTCATTTCATGTATCATTTTGAATCTTAAACATTGCATCTCATATGTTATTTTGGTCTGTCTAGGTATTCTAGAAGAGTCCGTTCCCGCATGAACATGAGAAAGCTCAGAACACCAATGTACAGAGCTCGAATGGCATCCTTTCCTCCACTTCCTCAGACTTTGAGGGAACTAACTCAGGTTCTGTTGCAAAACCCAAGAATCTCCAAAACGGTGGATGGTGAACAAAACATTTACGCTGGATCCATTGATGCTAATGATGGTTCACATCATGTTCTATTCGTGTCACCGAGAATGAGGGAGGTTTTGCAGCAGGTCACTATACTGCAAGGTGATGGAACATTCCGAGCAAGACCTTCCACTCCACCTTCAGCGCAATGTTTCACTTTGGTGACCACGTATAGAGATGCTGTAAGTTTAACACGCTCAATATTCACCACTTTTAAAATAATTTAGTCTTATGTATATAGTGATAATATATTGAAATCTCTCATTTTCAGATCATCCCTATCGCGTGGGTTCTGATGGAAAGAAAATCGTATGAAGGATACATGGCAGTTTTCAGACTATTGAAGCACCTATGTCCAAACCTTAATCCTGAAGTTGTGATCACTGATTGGGAGGCAGGTCAGCAGAGGGCATGGCGAAATTCTTTTCCAAGTGAGTGTTTGAACATATTTGCCATATTCTATGGTGCAGCAAAATGGTTCTTAAAACCCACAAACAGCTGATTGGGTGGAAAATGTATTTTTAGGTCTTTATAAAAGAGGTGCACTCTTACCAGTTTTGTACCTCATATTTTTGAGTTTGCATCTCCAACTGTTTTATTCCATCTATTGTCAGGGCAAAACATTAAAATTCTGATTGATCACAAAGATTAAATCGTTAAGACACATGAAAATATTTAATTGTGAAGGTTCAGGGAAACAGTAGTCAATAATAAAAGTAGGTCACATGTCGCTTGCGCTTAAATTTTGTGGAGGACTTTGACATTATACAAGAACACATTTTAGCTTTTCATAGGCTGTTTCTGGTGGACTGAAAATAACTGTAAAGATTATTTCCTGACAAGCTATTTTCACAAAACAATTCAGAGTTGTGTGTGGGAAATAGAAGTTAAACATATTTGCTAACATAGTACTTTGCCTCTCTTTTTCAGATGCAACCATCCAAGGATGTTTGTGGCACCTGGGTAGGGCTTTCATCAAGAAAGCTAGAGCATTGGGCTTACTCAGATACCGTCATGCATTTCCAGATGTTTTAGAATTCATCAGAAAAGCCTGCGCAATTTCACTCCTACCAGACAACTTGTATGAAGAAGCAATGGATGTTCTTAAAAGGAGAGCTCGTAATGTTAACCTTGTTTCTGCATACTTGGTACGACACTTCTTCACTTATGTTGAGACAAAATGGCTGGGAATGCCACATCGCAGAAGTTATATGAATTTTTGGAGATGCGTCCATAGGACAAATAATTCTTGCGAGTCACACAATAGAATGCTAAGGAAGGCTGTGGGGGCCTACAGACCTAATGTCTATGCATTTATCGAAGCCCTCTCTCGACTGGAACATAATGCAGACCTGGATTACAACTACATGAGGAACGAGGGAGGAGATGCGCGTCCTGCACGGCGCTGGAAATCAGTTTACACTGATAGAAGACTTGAAGCACTAAGCAACGATCTCGAGGAAGACATATTCCACAATAGGGAGGAAACCATTTGGAATTTCCTTCAACAAGGATCACGCCTCATCGAAGGTGCCATGAACGACCACGTGCAGCGGGAGGTGGCAGCTCGCCGTCGCCGTCCCGCGCAGTGATGGTTCCATTTTGAAAAAGGTTTGATGACCTTTAATTTTCTCGTGGCATATTGTGATTGTTTGAGTCTGTTGCTTTGACACCTATTTGAGGCGCAAAAAATTTTGATGAAGTCTGAAATTTTTTTAGGGGCTTCTTAAAATTAAACCACTATATTACAAAGTTACAGAGAGAGAATCCTGTATTGTACATTACCCTTCTCGCTTCCTCTAACATTTTCCCTCTAATTTCCTATTTTACCTCTAAGGACAATGTTGCTTTATGTTATGAAAATTACCACTACCTCTAAGGATTTACCTCTAAAGAGGGCCGTGCGAACGTGCGAAGCTGTCGCGTGGTGGGGAGGGAATGGAGATAGAGGGTCAGCAGTCTCAGTTAACGTGCTAAGTGACTTAGGTTATGCATGTGTGGGTAACTGGCGCTAAAATGTGAAGTGTTACTTGGCGAAGGGGCGCTAAAATGTTATGTGTTACTTGGCGGCAAGAGGGCAAAGGAATCTCCCTGTTCGCTGAAGTCATTGTGTGTGAAATCCACAACATAGTGGAGCGGCGTAAATGCACGCAGGAGACAAGTTATTGATCGTCAAAAGGATCCCGAAAATAAAAAAGGACAGAATTTAAGAATTAAAATACAATTTATTAACACAAAAAATGGCAGACTCACACAAATGCATACAGTCGACTTAACGTACAATTTATTAACACAATAAAAGGTAGACTCACACAAATGCATACAGTCGTAGACAAGAGCAAGTTACACAACAAAAGGACACATGATTAAGTAGATATGAATGATAAAGGTAATTATATAAAAAGAAAAAACATAAACAACAAATAAAGATAAATGACAGACAGACAACTACACTTAAAATTGAAAACATTCTATGAACAAAGTAACAACCTAATTTAACACAAAGACAGATTCGCTGTATTAGTGACGGCATAATAATAACGCCGCGTAAACGATTCACGCCCCTAGAGAACGGTCCTAGCCGACGTAAGGCGGCACACACACACCCGTGGTGCACGATCGCACCAGCCAGCGAAAAAGGCTTAGCAGTTCCGGCCTGGGAGCAGGCTGTGACTCAACAATATATGTCACCTAATTCTTTTAATCCCTCAAAAAAAAAAGTTGAGACTGGCAATGCCCATAGTCAAAACTTCTCTATGCCTGCATTACTGAAATCAAAGGATTAATCCCAGGTAGAACTTGGCCAACCCGAAGGAGAGAGGGGGAGAGGCGAGGCGACACTGGCGATACTCCCTGCTGGCAGCCAGCAGTCTCTCGCAGCGATACCCCGGGTCTGGAGAGCCTGCGCCCGCAGTATCTCTGCACCCGGCTAGGTGTAATTGTTACACTTCTTTTTGAACGCATGGTTACCAAGAGCAGTCTAAACTATTGACTCGTTCATCTGTTGAAATGAATCGCCGCCAGGTGTACTTGAGCAGCCTGCCGCGCTCACAAGCCGTGGGTTCGCATCGAAAGCTTGATGACGCCGCTGGTCCAGCAAGGGCGTCTTCCAGCGTTCCGCTTCCTCCTATACTTAATGCGGCTAGAGAAAAGCGCCGACTAGTCGAGGAGGCCAAACGCATTGCAGATGGCCTAAGGACTGTAGCAGTTCGGAACAGAATTGTAAGTAAATAGCGCTTATTGCTATGTTTTAAGAGTTGACCATCTTTCCTCACTAAAAACAGTTTTGGTTTTTAAAAGTCCTTGTTGCAGTCACCAAGGTTCTCTCTCATTTTGTCAGTCTCTTATTTGGGAAGATGCCCCAAAAATGCTTGTACAGAATGTTCATATTGACTTTAAATAATTCTTTGGTTCTTTGAATTTCAATTGCCATGTACCAAAAATTAACGAACATATTATAGAAAACAAAACATTCCCTCAAGAATGTAACAATTAGACAAAGTGATTCCTGAGTGCTTGCTGTTAAGGACTGGCAGACAGATGTAAAATAATTATGTAGAAGTAGAGTAATTTTATACCACGCAGATGCCCCTTGTGCCACTGTCACCTACTCCATTTATACGACCCAATTGTTCTCATGCCAAAACCGAGGTGGAGCAGACTGCAAACGATGTAGCAGCTTCCGCCAGATCAGCATCAGCAGAGGCGAGATCATTGCATCAAGAAATGCTGAAGCTCATTCGGGACATGCAAAAGTAGTGATTCCCATCACGTCACATTTTGTGCAGCACAACTTGTTATTTTGATATTAAAGAATTCTGACAACTCTTAAGTTTTGTTTCATTTTCAACAAGGAACAATGAAACAATGAACAAATTATTCAATCGTTTACATTCGCTCCATCACATTTAAGTATGAAACAAAATGAATTATGTCCAACAATGCCTCAACTCTACTACCAGGAAATGCTGAATGTAACTTTAATCTCAATGAGTATCGGAAAAAATGTTGGCCAGATTTAGAAGTTGAAAACATAAAATGGCATTTATTATTTTGGGAAGTGATTTATTTTGAGGCACATTCCATAAGTGGATGCAGGATACTTTGGAAAGCATCTAATAGGAAAACTTTAAATTATGTAATCAGGGCCTATAAATTTAAGAGGGCAAAATCAACTCCAAAAATCAAGTTTTCAGTTCAGAGATTGTAATTTAAATTTGAGTGGCAACTTAAAGTTGGTAGGAGAAAGGCGGAAACTAAGTTACTGAAGAGAGCGACAGACACAGCAAAATACATTTATTTCTGCAACTCCGAGCATAACTTAGTATCGTGCCTACTCCAGTTGAACACTGCTGGCTGCGGCCCTCTGCATGGCTTCCTTAAAAACGTGAATGTTCACCCGATTTCTCACCTCCTCAGGAAATCTGAAAAGAAAAACATTGGAACGTTACCATACAAAAGAATATCGTGACCGAGATCAGGCTAAGGCTGTTTAGAACTGCTGGAATGGCAAAATGCCATGGCGAAAACAAAGAACGACCCCAAGTAGTGAGACAAGGTTCAACTTACGGTTCACACAATTCAGCAATTACTTCCTTGAAGGGACGTCCTCTCACTTCCTCACACGCCTTGAGAATACTGTTCTTCAAGGCAATTTCTTGAGAAAACCATGGGTCGGCCGCGTGATTGTGATCCGTAATCGAGTGACGAAATCCATCGGCACCGGACGTAGCTCGAGCCCTGCAGCCTCGTTGGGATCGCACACACTTGTAGAAGTCCCGCGTTTTCGTAGAGGCATGAAGATGATAGTAGAAGCCGTCATGCACGTGAAAGAAGAATCTCCCAGGTCTTGTGCCGGGTTCTTTGACTACGTTTTGATGAAGGGCGGCCATCGTTGCAAACAAGGGTTATGGTTATAAGTAAACATAAAACTTCCGGGTTTTTTTATGCTAAAGCGTAGCCAACTTCCGAAAACTTCGAAAACTTTGTATTGATGACAATGGAAATCTGTTGGAACGTTGCATCGAGGTTCATTGATAATGAATTTATTTACGCCCTAGATGTCATTTGCCTTTTTATTTAGTACATATTTACATCGCATTGCAAAAAAGCAAATGTACTGAGAGCAACCGAGGGTTGGTCATTGTTGATGGCGTTACAGTGGCGGAACCGCGTGTTTTGAAACGACATAGTTCTCCTTGGTTCTCCTGATGGAAGGGCTGACTAGACTAAGTCCAAACTTTCCATGAAAACTCCGAATCATTTCGAATTGATTCAAAATTTTTTATCAACAGATGAGAAGAAGAAACCTTAACCTTATAACCGTATATTAGAGTGGGCTATTTTCACTCAATTTAGTCACTTTGAAGAAAACCCATTTGCGTGTCTGTAGCAGTAGCTGTCTTGCCTGTCTGCCGTGCCTCAGTTGGATGTCGGAGCAGACGACGACAGACGTTAGGGGGTGGGGGTGTCACTGGGGCAAAATCGCACCAATGGTAGGTGAGGTCGTGCAGCAGACGGGGGTGTCCGTCACTGGAGCAAAATCGCACCAATGGCAGGTGAGGTCGTGCAGCAGACGGAGTTTCGATAATTCCAGTGCATCTTTTTGAACTGATGTCGCCCCGACAACGTATGGTTTCATCAGAAAAGGACTTTATAACCCCACCTTGTTTCATCTTTTTAAAAATTAAGTTTCATTTGATGCATGAAAGAAGTAATGAAGGCCGCCAAATGTTTTTAGTGACGATAGGTCTCATTTGGAACTGAGGGCTCTGGACAAGTGGATTCAAACAGAACTTCATATTAATTGCACCATTTTAATGTATCAAGAACATAAACAAATCACACCGAGTCAATATTACTTTGATGAGATTTTCAATGCGAGGATCTAGGAATTCTGGACGACATATGAAATGTTAAAAGTCTTACATTTTGATGTCAGTGTTCAATTAAGCATGCAAAGCCTCGTAATTTTTTTAAGGGAAGTATGTTTTAAAACAAATCTAACGCAAGTATGCCTTTTGATCGGACTACAATCATTGAATATGCAACTTATGGTTTGGATTGATGTTAAATCCCTTGCTGGAATCATCTTTGAAAATATTAAAAATGGACTATTCGAAAAAAGTCCGCCAAGCCGCTCCGATTTTGCACCTCATATCTGCTACATGCGCAATTTCTCATGCTCTGTCGGGTTCGCCACAACACAAATACGACATTTTCCGGAACACAACATTAAATTCAAGTCCTCTTAGTGAATAATTTTTAATGCAAAATTATTCGCCGATTTCAATTTCCTCTGCTTTTATTATTTGACGCATGTTATGACTTGGCTCCAGTGTATATGTAAAAAAAAAAGACACTGTTTTCGTTGCGCTAAGTCTGCTCTGCTGACCCACGTCGACGTAACTACAACGGGACCTTAAATTGATAGACGTTAATGTAAACTCGCAAAATTAACTATCATGGGCAAAATTGTGTACTAATATTCAATCTATGGTTAAATGTGGACTGTAATGGCTGTTGTAGTATGCATTATTTTATTTTGAAGTACGCTGCTAATTCGAGCCCGTGTCGTATCCAGACTTTTTAACCTAAATGTTTCCCTCATATTGACAACAGTTTTGAACAGAGCCTGTTCATAACACCTATCCTACGATACCCTTGAAATGCCCACGATTAGTAAAGCCATTTTTTGGAGTAATTATTCTCTTTCGGATTTTAGAAAATTGTAGTTCTGTTTAAAAGCATTATTCTGTAAAGAAATAGATATTTGACATTCGAAAACTTAACGCATTTTTTTTCTCTGGGAAGGGATGGATGCTGTAAAATTGAGTAATGTTAGTTGCATCCCCTTCAATCATGACCAAAATACTGATTCAGCTACAGATGAAGAGCATCCCTCCAAAATTGCTGTAAGGATAGTGATGTAGCTGTTGACAGTGTTTAAATTGCATACCTATTCTGCACCTTGACTATTTTAACTGTTTAGGAAATAGATACGAATTTAATAAAAGAGGAACTGAAGACAGAAGAACAAGAAGATGTCGATAACACAGAGGAAGTAATTAACTTCACATGCCCTAAAGGCAATCTTGATTTTCGGGTTGGAATGGTAACGTTTGTACCTTCAAAATATATTGTTTTTTACGACTAACAGTTAACTTTGTTCTTGATTTATGACCCAGGGTCCAAAGGCGATATTGATGCGACAATCATCTCATGACTTGGCAATTGTCGCAGATCTGTACTCTCTCCTAGAGGACTTTAGGACAATGGCTCACTCAAGTAAGTCGTTGCTGTGCTGTCAACCTGCAAGTTACCCATCAGTTCTGATGTGTCCATTATGCGGAGATTATTTTGTGGGAAAGGCTGACCGTATGCTGAACCTCTGCAAACATTACGAGACAGTACATCCATCGGATGCTTTAAAACTTATTCTGGATGCCATGAAAACATACAAGAAGCTTATTGCGCACATGAGGAAGGCTCTGGAGTTTGATGTGTGGTTTGGTGATGTTAACTATACCACTGTGAAAAGAAACAAAAGCTTTGAGTGCACAGAATGTAAAATAAACTGAACATAATCCTGCTCAATTCCTGTTTGTGATCAAATCAATACTGTGGAATGCCATTTGAAAAGGATGAGTTGTCAAGTCATGGTTTATTGATGAGTTTTGTGCAGTGTTCATGGTTTACATGTTTACTAATTCTGTCCATCATAAACCTTTGTATTCTTTGATTCAAAATGACCAGTAGTTCATCGATAGCATGAAACCGCTGTCAAGTCACATTTGCACATGACGACATTTTGGCTTAGTTGCCCTTAAAAGTAGATTTATGAGATTGGTTTATGTTTGATTTTAGATTGATAATTTTTTTATTTTGGAAGATTTGTGTATAATTGTGTTTTGTAGCTATTACTTCAAAACATTTAGGGGTGGCAGCCATGAAATTCTTGCACCCGACTTGTGTACCACAGTTTTAAACTTGCAATGGTCGTTTTTTTTCTTTTTGTTGTGTTGGTGCTTTTTTATATGTAATTTATTATTTATTATGTTTGGTTGTTAACTTGGGTAACTGACAAGTATAAAATAGACAGTTATTTGTTTTTCCTTGCTTTTTTTCCCCACACAAATTCCAAATGCTTTGGACAATAGTTATGTTGCTGCCTTATTAATTTTTAGTAGTGTTAATGAATTGTGTGTAATAGAAGCAGTGTAGACTGCTTGGATATTTATTCACTAAGTTTTTTATTGTGTATCATTGGTGCATTAAATGCCATTAATTTCAAATTGTGGTGAGGGGTGAGGTGGTCAATGGTGAAGTGTGAAGACTCCCCCACCTCAGCCCTGCTTCAATATGTGAATTGTTTACTTCCTGACCTTGAAAATAACCTTGGTGTTTTACAAAGCTCTAATTTATTTTTATTTCTCGTCAATTTTTAAATTTTTTTCCCCTTGTCTTATTTAGACTTCCAGTGGATGTGAGGGACCGAGTCAATATTACTTCCATGAGATTTTAAATGCGAGGATCTAGGAATTGTGGACGACATGAAATGTGACAAGTCTGGATTTTGATGTCAATGTTTAATTTAACGAGCTTCTGATGTTTCTATTTAATGAACCATTTTAAAAATGTGAAATGCTCGATTATTCATTTGAAAATAAAAGTTCTGTAACATGATTCGTGTATTGCTTTTGTTCATGGCAAGTTGAGCCTCTTGTACCATTATCTTTACAAGGCAGAAAAGAAATTCCAAGTGCGGAAGTTCCTATAATAAACGGCATGGTTCCCTTTCTTGCAGTTACATTTCAAGTAAGAGTAGCGAAATTAGACCAAGATGTTGGACTGGATCTAAAAATAAAACACAAAATCAAACAAATAGATTTAATTACAACCTAACCCAGACCAGAAAAATCACAAATCAGTTTTGGGTGTAATGCATATGTGAATTAAAATGACAAAACAACACCAGACACTGATTGAAATAGAACACTGTGTCAGCTAAAGCTTCTTCTTTTTAGAAACTGAAAACATTTCAAGAAATTTGATGACATCATCATCTTTCATTCGATGTGCATGGTATTTGTTTAAGTGTGCCATTATATTAGTCTTTTGAACAGAAGCCCATGATACATCACATACAGGACACTTAACCCTGGATGCATTGACACTGGATGGTGGTATGATCTTCCTCTTTGATGACGAATGCTTGAAGACAGGTAGATAAGCTTCACATTCTCTCTTACTGACTACAAGTGACTCCTGAAAATACTGGTCTTTTACAACTTCAAAGATGTTGTTATTGATGTAGGCTTCTAATAGATCAGGAGCATGGACAGCCACTAAATCGCTGAGGTTTGTGTGTACGCTGTCCTTCCTGAGACAATAATTAGCACATCAGTTTCAAACCTTGAAAGATTGAAATCGAACATATCAATGTACATACTTACATGCAAGGACAGCGTAAAGACACACATCCATAAGGAATCCAAGCATTTGTTCCAAAGTTACAGGCCTCTGCCAGATTAGGGCCAAAATTGCCACCACAGTGCGCTGCATTAGGGAGAAGTACAATACCCTCTCCTTTTTCCTGGATGACCTGCAGCCAGCCAAAATAATTAAAAAAAGGATAATATGAATTCTGTGACAATATTATGCTTGAAATGTCATAGTCACCACTTCAAAGGGTATCCCTTCTTCTTTGAAAAATTGAGGAGTAGGAAGGAAAAACTTGTGGCTCAGGTTGTTGCGACACCACCTATGGTTGTAGAAGAACCCTCTCCTGTTTAGAGCATCTGTCAGTTGACCGACAGATGTGGGTGGAATTATGATCCTGTAAATAAAAATAAAATTGAATTGTTTGATTACTTTTTTTTTTTCAAAAGTAAAACACAGTACAGTCTCATTATTAATTATAGATTTTTACCAAAATTTGGGCAACCCATGGAGAAGAAAATTGAAACTCCAGGTACTCAGGTCTTCAACATGGAGAGGAAATACAGAATGAACTCCACCCAGGTACAGGAAGGGGTATGAAACTCCAGCATACACACCACTAAGGTCAGTAAGCATGTTCTTGAAGCACAGGTGTGCCATAGCAAAATTCTCCGTTAAGTGAACATAATTGTTTTGGCATTCCTCTATGCAAGAGCTGTACAAGAGGTCACAACTTTTAAGCTCACCAAAATCCTGCGAGTCTTTTTGCTTGTGGTGACAATACTCTACATCACAAGCATCACACAGACATAAATCTTCCGAAGAAGAAGATTCATATATCTTCTCGTTGCTCATGGCCATCTCCAGACACCTCTTCTTGCTTTGTGTGGTTGGACAGCTTCGGTACGCCTGTCTCTTTACAAACTCTGCTTTTTGGGTAACAGCTCTCTTTCGAATAACCCTGATGTCATCATGAAAGTTACTTCGCTTCACCTTTGGGTTTGATGTCACCGCATCAAAAAAATGTTGCAGAAATGCCTCTTGTCCCTCCATCTGTAGTACACTCATGCTGAAAAAACATTAAGAATGTAAAAAACATACATCATTTAATGAATTTTGTGCATTTGTTTTTTGTTTTGAACTCACCAACAATTTGTTGGTGAAATAGGGTCTTGAAATGACCCAGGGTCAAAACTTGTAGACATGAAGGCATCTTTCTCTGACGCTGAGGGTGCAACATTTTGAAGTCCAAATAATCTGTTGTCATTTACATTGCTAAGAAGAACACCCTTACATATTTTCTTTTGAGCAACCAGTCCGAACTGTTTGAAAAACTCTTCCATTGTAGAAGATTGCTCAGCACATTTTGAATCAAGCTTGACCTGAATGAAAGGAGATGATTAGTAGTGAGGGTGGGAGGGAAGATTGTACCTGCACCATGTAGAAAACAAGAATCACTACTAACCTTAAAGAAGCCGTATTTCTTACAATTTTCATCTGAGTACTTCTGGTCACAAAACGACTCAAACTCAAACAGATCCTCCTCAGAAAGACTAAAAGTGCTTGCCATTGTAGACCAGACGACAAACCTCAGAGGCACAGTGTCTCCGTCCTAACGACGAAGTTAACCTGACCAAAACCTGAGGCACAACAAAGAAAACCAAAAGCGAAAATTAATTACTTATCTACCGCAATTTGTGTAGCTCACTACATAGATGCTTTTGCCGTCATTTGGACTGAGAAAATTACAATCAAACAACGACGAGCAGTGGTTCCGGACGAGTTGTTGTTGTTGACGCAGAGGGGTTATGGGTGGATTTGGGCTAGAGGGCGCGACAGAGCAAGTAACCACTGGAAGGCGCTGCATTTTCAGTTGTGTGCTCGTCTGCTCGTCGTGTGCAGGTGTAATCTTCAAATTCAATGTGGGTTTAACGAATTCTTTTACAGATTGAATGGGCTTTTACAGTACTTGCGTCTTTGTTTTGCTCGTGCTTACAAACCTTTCGAAGCGGGCGTCTGACTTTCCATTTTTTTTTTTCGAGTCAGCTGTGATTGCTGCTGCATGCCTGAGGTTAGGGGCAGTCCACCTAGTATCCTCCTCGTACTGTTCCAAAGTTGCAACAGAAGTTGAGGTTACTTTCAGAAAGAAAAAAGAAACATGTCGAAAAGAAATTCTGCAGGCAATGTTACCTCAACGTAAGTAGTCTCTTAAAAGGCAATTAAAAAAAAATTGTAACACTGGAACCTTTGTGGAGATCACTGTAAAGTGGCGGTTCAGTGATTTTGATGAGCTGATTTATTTCCAGTTTGGGTCTTGAGTGCCTTCCCCTCTCTCGTACCCAGTTGAGAGACCTTTGGAATTACGACAATGAGTGTGGGAGTCAATTTATGGGTGCTCCATTAAGGATCTGCTCGAGCATGGAAGATGACACTGCAGTTGAGGGTTGGTATATGATTCCCTCGCTACCCAATTAAATGGGAGTGAACTACTTTGCAGTGGAGATTGTTTGCTTGTTGCAGGTCACAACTCTGGTATTCCTTGTGCTGAGCTTAAAAATTTGAAACAAACCATAAAGGAAATGTGGGTAAGAGCAGGAACATTATTTGAAGTGTTCTATGATGCACAGCGCCCAGATTTAGGTTATCGTTTGAAAGTTAAAGATTCCTTGCCCATCAAAGTTACGTTAAAAGAGGATGATATGTTTTATTTTGGATGGTGTGCAGTCGCGCCTGAGGACAGCCTATGCACTCACTTATACAAGAGAAGCCCACTGCAGCCCTGTGGGTACTTGGGTGGACCTGCTAGTCTTTGTAATTGGGTTCTGGATAAGCAAGCCACAGTATCCTTCTCTCGGCCTCTGCGAAAGATTGCTCGGTACCTGTTGAGGTTGCAATGCAGGAACTTATCAAAGGGCCAGGAGCTGTTATCGAACTATGGGAACACAAAAATAATGGCTACTGAAGCAGACTGGTTTTTAAAAGTAAGCAACATAAAAATACTTGTCACGACTTGTGTTGGTGCTGTGACACCCATAATAACTCTTTGCAAAATGCATTATCTCATGAAAATTCTTTCCATTTTATATTCAGGGTTGCTGCAATGTTTTCAAAGAGGCAGACAGACATGTGAAACGCCAGGATAAGAGAAAAAACTTAAGTGATCTGATGTTTGTAGAATGTTGTGTCCTATGTGGGAAGCAATATTCTATCAAAAACAAAGAGTGCAGAATACAGAGAAAGCCTCATTTTGTGAATAGCCATGCAGACTTCTTAGGATCCAAATGGAATGGTTTAGGACCCTACATGCAGGAAGAAGTTGATGCTACTGCTGTTTTGGCAGAGGCAGATAAACTGAACTGTCTGATTCAAACTCTGACAAAGGACCTGAAGTGGTCTATTGTCCCTGCTTGTAATGTCATCGGAACCAAGTAAGTAAAATTGCTCAAGAAATGCCACCAGTGTGTCCCTTAGTTATTTCCATTTTTATTTTTACATGCATATTTTGTCTTAACTTGATTTGCAGTGACAAAGATGAGTATGATAACCCTGAAGCTCTTCTAACAGAATTCAGAAGAAGATGTACTCTACTTAAAGGTGCTGGAACTTTAGTCTTACGAGGGGCAGCAATGGACAAAATGATAAACGAACTCAGTGTAGATCACCTTCGGCCAGTCCCCGTGTCTGTCTGGAGGACTCTTAATTGGAAGAATAAAGTACAACCACCATTTGGAGTGTATTCTGTTCCGAATGAAATGAATGACGATCATACTATTGAGGTCCAGTCAGCTATAACAAAGTTCTGTTTATTCTTGAATTAGTTTAATTTGTTTGCTTGCAATCACCAGCCTTACTTTCTCTGTCTCTCTTATTTACTTAACCAATTCTTGTTTATGGTTGTGCATAATTATGGTACTCAGTATGTAAGAACTGCTCAATATATTTTGTGCTGGGGGGAGGGGGAGACGTGCTGCATTTGTTGTACTAGATAAATTTCTACCAGACTTCTCTGCTGTTTTGTGTTGTCAACTTTAAAGTATCCTTGTATTCATATATATTTTGAATGTCTATTGTATAGAATTGCACTTCCTTCTTTTCTGTATGGACTTGTAAACAGCAATGTTTACTTTTGCTTTATGGCTTTCTGCCAAATTCCTCTTGACAATTAAAATTCATGTATTACTTGCTCAAACTTTGCCTGCCAACTTGCATTTATTTTATAGACTACAAATCAGTCCACTTTGAGGGAATCAATCTTAACATAAAAGTTGGGGAACACATTATTTCTCAGAACTCTGTGCCAAACATGAAAGGTAGAGCCAAATGTAGTCAGCCTTTCCAAGACTAAAAGAAAAGACTAGATTGAGGCAATAGAATACAGTGGAGGGATCTCCAGAGAGGGAACCTCTAGACTCCCCTTCTCTTGTCCCCAGTTAAGCAGCTAAAGTTAAGAAGCACATTCCCACCAAACCAGTTGCATAAAAGCAGTATGAGCTCTAGAACTGCGTTCATTTTAAATCATCAAATCAAATGCAGTTCAATGAGCCTCAAATTTACTCACAAATTAATAGTTGGTAACTGTATTCTATGTACAATGTCACATAAGCAGCTTCACCTTCTGTACATTTATAAAGGGCAAGGATAACAAACCCCGTTAGGCTAAGTCAGTGGTATTTGATAAATAAGCGAGGCCAATAAAAGAGAAACATTTCATCCGCATCTACTTAAAACTCAGACGAAGTCAAGATTTCATACAGTGTGTGGTAACATTCATCAAAATTTCACAAGTTTTCCACAGACATTAACAATTAGTAGAAAAAAAAAACAGAAAGTAAATTTAAAACAATAAAGGAATAAGAATCAATACAGCTGTTGTTCAAACCCACGGCTTCGGCTCCCTCTGTTGTCTCCTAGTTCAATTCATGGAAAGGTGACAAACAAACTTTACCTTTGCGTTGTTGATAGTTGCCTAAGGGCATTTCCAAACTAGATAACAGAGTTCTGAAAGTATAACTTTTCAGCTGACTAGTATTTATGAAGAGATTGAGTGCAGTTGATGACTGTTTGGAGATTTAGATTATTTTTGTGTGCCATACAGAGTGTTCTTGTCATTTTTTACCTGTTTAAAGTAGGTTGAATTGTCACATTTTGCTGAAGCTTTATTTTATTTTTTAAAACAATTATAAGTACAGTGAAAGTCGTTTAAAGCGTTGGTGGCAATTGTGATCGTGTGAGCCTTGTCATTGTGCTGAAGATTCTCTGTCCGGCTCATAATGCGATGTAAACAGGCATATACTGGCATCACATTATGATTCTGGCAAAGGAGAATCTTCAGTGCAATGACTATAGGTAGATGTGATCCCAATTTCCTCCAACACTTGAAGCGGCTTTCACTGCATTTGTACATAACAGAGCATTGTGTGCAATTCCAAAGTGTGTGACAGTGCATTTTGTTTGTCAGCCGGTTTATTTTTAAATAACATGTTTCTCTTATATTGTTGACGTACTGTCCTTCTTAATAATTTAGTAATGAAAGTGAGCACCACTGCATTCATTTGTACTGAAATCAGCATTTGCATTCCATTGACGGTTTATTTTTAAGTAACATGTTTCTCTTATATTGTTGGCGTAATGCATTTGCATTCCATGATACTTGTGTGATTTGTTTATGTTCTTGAAACATTAAAATGGTGCAATTAATATGAAGTTCTGTTTGAATCCACTTGTCCAGAGCCCTCAGTTCCAAATGAGACATATCGTCACTGAAACATTTGGCCGCCTTTGTTACTTCTTTCATGCAATAAATTAAACTTAAATTTTAAAAAGATGAAACAAGGTTGGGGTTATAAAGTCCTTTTCTTATGAAACCATACGTTTTCGGGGTCACATCACTTGAAAAAGATGCGCTTGAATAATCAAAACACCGTCTGCTGCACGACCCCACCTGCCATTGGTGCGATTTTGCCCCAGTGACACCCCCCCTTGAATTATCAAAACACCGTCTGCTGCACGACCCCACCTGCCATTGGTGCGATTTTGCTCCAGTGACCCCCCCCCTCTAACGTATGTCGTCTGCTCCGGCCTCCAACTGAGGCAGGGCAGGCAGGCACTGACAATTTTATCAAAGTATTCGCTTTCTGTAATTTTAATGCATCTGTGATTTTTGAAGAGGCATCAGAAGTTCTTGCGATACGATAAGCAGACGAATTAAAATATCTACGAATGGAGACGCAGGATCCGTAAACAGCGGCGCAGCGCATTCACACCAGTAGCGCCCCCTACCGGACAAGCCCAGAAACTTCCGTCTTCCTTTGAAAAGTCGTAACGGACGCGGGCCTGACTCGAGTTCTGTCAGTATATTGATGCGATTCTTGGTGTTTCAAGTTCATAATGTATTGTTTTGGACTTTATTCCCCGTTTAAAATCGCCATCATAGCGCTTTTGAGTCCACCGATGAAGCCCGACGGAGGAAAGAGACAAGGAGAGAGGGAGGACTGGTTGGGACTGGTCGCGTCGGCTCTCCCTGGTTTGACTACTTCCGAATTTCTTACTCTGCACGTTCACCCATCGTTTTCCTACAGGTGAGTTTAACGGAAATCGTTTCTACGTTTGAATTGACGTGCCATGTCGGAGTTACGAAACTTTTAGGCTGGCCTTCTGAACACATAACCTCTTCGCGTAGGCCTTGCATGCATCACATCGCTCATGTTCGAAACATTTTCAGCGAGCCGACGATTTTAAAGCACTTTCGTTGTCGTCTTTTGATTGTTGTTGTGGAGCTCAATTTGGTAATCATTCTTTTCATTTCCAGATGCCCTGTTTGACACTTAATCATTTCAAATGAGGGAAGATTGTGAGGACTTTGGGCTCGGCCTATTGAAACTGTTTGAACGGTGCTTTATCTTGCCCTTGAAATCTACACTCCATTGAGTCACGCCCAGAGTGGCTACTTAAAGGTGAGGTACGTACGTGGCTACTTGTGATGCACCTGTTATTGTGTGGGGCATTTTACCATCAACTTCCTTGTTGTAGGATATCTTGCATGTTGGCCGACTGATACGATACAAAGATCTGTCAGGTATGATGGTTAAAGCAGCTTTTGTTGAGGTATTGTATTTCTCTAATGATTCAGTTCCATTTATAACCTTGTCAGTGAGATACTTATATTTGCGTTGACGCTTGCAGGTTTGTTGAGACTGGTAACGTCATCATTGAAACATGTTGTTGAAGAGCAAGAGAAACAGAGTCACCGAATGGCAGCAGCGGGTACATACAGTTGACAGCACCCTCTGCCTGTGGGTTTAAAATGCGGACAAAGAATGCCAACTATATTTGGTCCTTCGGTTAGAGTTCAGGTACATTAATTCTTCCATGACTCGGTTCAATTTATAGCAGTGCCAGTGAGATACTTATGTTTATCGTTATGCTTTCAGGAGTGCAGGATGGTGACGTTGAAAATGTCAAGATTAAAATATGCAGTTTGAAGAGCCAGAGAAACAGTGTCAGCGATCAGCAGCGGTACCTGCCAAGAGCAAGAGTTGAAAGCACTCACCGCCTCTGGAACAAGAATCTCAACTGGTTTTGGTTCGTCTCTCCTGCACACTTCGGAGCAGCTGATGCCTGCATTGTTCTTCCTGCACCTTTACTCTCAATCCACTACTCACTCCCTGCTCCACATGCTAACAGCCATGCAGGTAATTGGTCAACCTCTCTTCTATTTTATAACAACAACTCTTAAATTGGTCAGTCTGACGATTTTAAGGGTACTGTAAACTGAAAATCTTACTGCCTAGAATATTTTAGACGGCAGTCTTGTTATTTTGGTCTAAAGTTGCTCACTGTAAAGTGAACTTGAATCCAAAGTTAGGACCCCAAGCTCCCAATAGTTTCAGAGTTGTTGATGTTTATGTAACAAGTGTAGTTGTTTCTCCCGAAGTCTCCTCACCCAAAAAGTTTCCACCTTTCAGCTCCTGCCAAATCAATCGTAAAGGACACATAAATAAGTTAGCATAAGCTTTTATCAATACGTCAATTACTTTTTTGAACAGAAGAGATTGTTTATGCAACGTTTTCAGCAACTTTTCGTTCAAGTTACTTGAAAGAGTGACAGAGATATTGTAAAAAGCCTATGCTTTCTTTTTCCTGTGTCATTAAGGATCAATGTATCAGGAGCTGTAGACTGGAAACCTTTTTTGGTGTTCATGAGGAGACTTTGGGAGAAATTGGAGGCCCCTACTTTGAGTTTCAGTTTATCAAAATTCACTGGTTTTTACTTAGCAATAACCTTAAGCTGCTCCTAATTTTACAAAGTAAATTTGTATTTCACCATCATGCAGCCTTATTCAATCACAACACGGCATGTTACAGGGTTTAAGTCGCTTTGTTTTCATTTCAGTAATTGAAACTGGCCAAGTGATGCACCAATCACTTGAGACGGAAGAATGTGACAATCAACTCAGGTGTCCAGCAGGTATAGAACATTGTCTTCAATTAGGTAAATGCATCCTTGTGCTGCTCGCAGAGTACTCAATTTTATTGTTACCTTTTTCCAGGACTTACGGACTGGAGGCCAATTTGGTGCGACAACTGAAACTGGGGACTGAAAGAACATGAAGCTTCAGTCGGGGACGAAGACCAGCAGCCTCTCACTCATCGACTCACCGTGAAGATGAAAAGGACAACAGGCATCAATGAGACCAGCAGCTCAACATTCACCTCACACAGACCCATCGGAACCATGTTATGATGTATGTAACCTCCTGCGTCTCAGTGCTCTTGTGATTCTCCCGCCATTGTTGTAGCAGTGCATCAACTTTTCTGTTTCTGGGCCTGCTATCATTTTGTCTCATCCAATTTTGGTTGAGCATGAGCATTGCGTAACCATGTCACCATTAGAAGTTTGATACTTTTTTTGTACCTATATATATATTGGCGGTAATCACCTATTCATACGCCTGACCCTTAACAGCAGCATAGTAAGGCAACTACATTGGTGAAAGGTGCACAGGTCGCTGTACTGAATGGCTTCTGGACCATATTGAATGTCCCTCCCTCCCTCCCATCTTCCCTCCCAACTTAAGCTAAAAATCGGTATATTGATGCAATAATGTGGTTAGGTTTGCTCTTAGCATGTAAGCATGTAAGCCTCTTCGCCGAGCTGCCGCTACCATGCCCCTACTCTCAATCGTCTTAGAATGCTCTACAAGAAAGGCGTCCGCGTGGCCGAGGTGTCGCCCTGCGCCGCTGTAGTGCCTGGCCTCGACCCTCGCGTGATGCGCGGCCTCGGCGGCGACCCCGCCCTGAGGGACCTGTGGGACTGCTCGTCCAGGTAGCACGCAACGTGGCCGGGCCCTCCTTGCCCTTGTGGTGAGAGAGCTCGAGTGCTGCGCGGCCAAGTGCATCCTGGTGCTGCACGGCGCGGCTGACGGCGTGCTCGTCTGCCCCGTCGCCTTTCTCGCCCTTCAGGCTGAGAGTGCTGCGGCCTCGCTGTGGCCAGCCGCTCCGCCTCTGCGGAGAGAGCTGTGGGCTGCACGGAGCTGGGCGCCGCCAACGACGGCGTCGCCGGGGCCTCGGTGTGGCCGGTGTCCATGCCTCGGCAGGGAGTGCTGTGCGCTGCACCGTCCCCGGGGCGCCTCTGACGGGCACCTCGTCAGGCGCGTGCCGCCGGCCCTCGCCTTTGGCGAGATGGAGCCGGCCGGCCGCGCCCGCCCCCGCCTTCGAGATGAGAGCCCCCTCAGGGCTCCTCTTGGACGCGTGTGTGTGCGCCGACGGGCCACTGGGGGCTGCGGCGTCCGTACCCACAGTGATGCGGGTTTGCACCGCCTCTTAGTGACAGCTCGGGCATGGACATTACCTCTGAGGTATTGTTGTTGATGTGGATTTTGAGGGAGGTTTCCACCTCGCGCGCGCGTTCGGTTGCCTGTTCCTGGCTGGGGCCTTTGAAGGCAGTGGGAAGTGCGAGTGTTGTGTATGCAGAGTCCCGCTTTCCCGCGAAAGCAAGCCTCTGCCTTCTTCGTGGAGGCTGGCTTGGTGTTCGGCGGACTCTGGACCTGGCCGGTGTGCGGTGTGCGCTGCCTAGCGGCTTGGCCGCCTCGCTTCTCTTGTAGGCGATGGCCGAGAACTGCAACGCCCCAGGCCCACTCGCGGCGCTGAGGCGTGCCCGTCCAGGTCGCGGTCCGCGTGGCCGTGGTGCCTGGCCTGGACCTTCGTGTGCTGCGGGATGCGGGCGACCTTTGGCGGTGACCCCGTCCTGAGGGACTTGAGGGAGTGCTCGTCAATGTGGCCCGCAGCGTGGCCGAGGTGTCGGCCGGCGCCGCTGTGGTGCCTGGCCTCGACCTTCGCGTGCTGCGCGGTGCGGGCAGCCTCTGGCGGTGACCCCGTCCTGAGGGACTTGAGGGAGTGCTCGTCAAGGTGGCCCGCAGCGTGGCCGAGGTGTCGGCCGGCGCCGCTGTGGTGCCTGGCCTCGACCTTCGCGTGCTGCGCGGTGCGGGCAGCCTTTGGCGGTGACTGCGCCATGAGGGCCCTCAGCGTGGCCGAGGCGGCGCCCCCAGGCCACCTTGGTGGTTGGTGGCGGCCTTCGCGTGCTGCGCGGTGCGGGCGGCCTTAGCCCGAAGCGTGGCCGGGCCCTTCTTGCCCTTCGGGGTGAGAGAGCTCGAGTGCTGCGCGGCCAAGTGCATCCTGCTGCTGCACAGCGCGGCTGACGGCGTGCTCGTGCGCCCCGTCGTGGCCGCGGGCCTTGCTCGCCGTTCAGGCTGAGAGTGCCCGTGGCGGCCTGCCGCAGCACGGCGTGGCTGGCGGCTTGCTCGTCTTTGTTCCGGTAAATTAGTGCTTGGACAGTCTGAGGCTGTTCACTTTGGAAATAGCGATGCGTGGCGTACGGAATCTCGGTTTGAAACGTGCGAACGGGACTGTTGAACACTAGGCAGCCGGTAGGTAGGCATGGTTTTGCCTCGCGCGCGCATTTGGTTGCATGCTCTTGGCAGGGGCCTTTGAAGGCAGTAGGAAGTGAGTGTGCCGTGTATGTACGCAGAGTCCCGCCTGCCCGCGAGGCGAGCCTCTGCCTTCGTCGAGATGGGCTTGGCGTTCGGCGGACTCTAGCCCTGGTCTGCGCGCGCTGCCATGCGGCGTGGCAGGCTCGCTGCTCTTGTAGGCGGCGGCCGAGAACCGCGGCTCCCCAGGCCCACTCGCTTGACAGGGACGGCGATGAGGCGTGCCCGTCCAGGTCGCCATCCGCGTGGCCGGGGTGTCGGTCGGCGCCGCTGTGGTGCCTGGCCTGGACCTTCGCGTGCTGCGCGGTGCGGGCGGCCTTTGGCGGTGACCCCGCCCTGAGGGACTTGAGGGAGTGCTCGTCAAGGTGGCCCGCAGCGTGGCCGAGGTGTCGGCCGGCGCCGCTGTGGTGCCTGGCCTCGACCTTCGCGTGCTGCGCGTTGCGGGCGGCCTTAGCCCGAAGCGTGGCCGGGCCCTTCTTGCCCTTCGGGGTGAGAGAGCTCGAGTGCTGCGCGGCCAAGTGCATCCTGCTGCTGCACAGCGCGGCTGACGGCGTGCTCGTGCGCCCCGTCGTGGCCGCGGGCCTTGCTCGCCCTTCAGGCTGAGAGTGCCCGTGGCGGCCTGCCGCAGCACGGCGTGGCTGGCGGCTTGCTCGTCTTTGTTCCGGTAAATTAGTGCTTGGACAGTCTGAGGCTGTTCACTTTGGAAATAGCGATGCGTGGCGTACGGAATCTCGGTTTGAAACGTGCGAACAGGACTGTTGAACACTAGGCAGCCGGTAGGTAGGCATGGTTTTGCCTCGCGCGCGCATTTGGTTGCATGCTCTTGGCAGGGGCCTTTGAAGGCAGTAGGAAGTGAGTGTGCCGTGTATGTACGCAGAGTCCCGCCTGCCCGCGGGGCGAGCCTCTGGCCTTTGGGTGCCTTGACGTGCCGACTGCGGTGCAAACTAACTTTCGCGTTGAAACGTGACTTTGCGCCTGATAGGCTGGATTTAGCGGCGCGGGTGAACGTTTGGTTGCCTACCTCGGTCTTGGCAGGGGCTAAGGCCTCTGCTTCGCTGCCCTAGTCGTGCAGGCCCTGCGGCCGGCGTCGTTTGTTCACCGGGGAAGCTTTGCCGTACCTGTACATCTGCGGTGCACCGACCCCCGCCACCCCGGCGGCGTGGTTCGTGTGCTGCGAGTCTGTCTTGCCCCAGGCCGCCCGGTCGTCGTGGCCGCGAACCGAACCTCTGCCCACCTGAGGGTGTGCTTCGCGTTCGAGTGAGCTGGCTCGGGGCCTGAGTTGTGCTTGCTGCTGAGCGGCGTGACCGTCGGTTCGCCCTTCAGGTGCGTGTGGCCGGGCTGCTGGCCTTGTTGGCCGCGCCCGCGAGCTACGCTGTCCTGCCCGTCAGGTGCGCGTGGCCGGGCTGCTGGTCTTGTTGGCCGCGCCCGCGAGCCACGCTGCCTCGGGCTTACTCTTTTCAGATGGACACACATCTGACGGCGTGTACTTTGTACGACTGGGCTTTGTAATCACGCGTAGTGAGCGCCTGTCGGGTAGGCAGCCGTGCATCATCTGAGTACGACGTGTTGGCTACTTGGCTCCTGACAGGTAAAGCCCTATAACTGTAGGGCTTTACTGACAGGGGCCTGTGGGGCTGTGTCGGTCTGTCACTATGTGGGTGTGTGTGTGTAGTGCGAGCGGCCTGGTGGACGGAACACCGTGTAGCCAGGCCTTCTGCCTTCGCTCCCTGGGCGCCGCTCTTCTTGTGGCCAGCCCCTCCGCCTCGGCGGAGAGCGCTGCGCGCTGCACAGAGCTGGGCGCCGCCAACGACGGCGTGCCCGGGGCCTCAGTGTGGCCAGCCCCTCCGCCTCGCCCCTCAGGTGCGTGTGGCCGGGCTGCTGGCCTTGTTGGCCGCACCCGCGAGCTACGCAGTCCTGCCCGGCAGGTGCGCGTGGCCGGGCTGCTGGCCTTGTTGGCCGCGCCCGCGAGCTACGCTGTCCTGCCCGTCAGGTGCGCGTGGCCGGGCTGCTGGCTTTGTCGGCCGCGCCCGCGAGCTACGCTGCCTCGGGCTAACTCGTTTGAGATGGGCACACATCTGACGGCTTGGTTCTTATCCTCAGCGCATTAAGATGACGGTGAACCTGGACGGGCTATGGCTTGCTGGTGCAAGACCGCACCGAAAGCTCTTACCTGGGGCTCCGCACATGCCGTGATCGGCGTCTGCCGCAAACCCCAACTGGAGCTAGCTGCGCAACCCCGAACTGCCTGCTTGCCTTCGTCGAGCTACTTCTGCTGCACGTGCGGCGTGATGTTGCCCCGACTGCAAGGAGTGCTCGCCGATGTACCCGACGGTTTTTGTCAAGGCCGCGATCGAGACCTAGCGCGGGAGATTGTTCCTTCATTAATTATTTTAAAACAAGATGGGCGGAAATGTCCGGCTTCGATTGCGCGAGGTGGGGCTCAGGCAGCGGACGATCGTAGGCCTAGAACTGGCGTGGCGACTAGCCACGGCCACTGACCAGCGGACAGGGCAGCCGCGCCAGGCAGGAGGCTTCTGGTCTCTCTTCGGGACAAGTCCAACGGCAGGCTTGGCTCCGAGGCTCCGATACGAACGCGATCTGGGCGCTGCGAGCTGCGTTGGCGACGCGGCGGACTACTGACATGCGGAGTATCAACGTTGTGAGCAAGGTCTGGTCTTTGCCGCCAAGTGCGTGGGGTATCCACGGAATACCCTAGAGAACCGAGCTGTTGGCAGCAAACCGCGCATTGCCTCTGGAATAGTTAGTACTTAGTAGGGTGCAAGAATTGGTGTTATCCGGCTAGCTAGCTCAGCCCCATAAGTCCCGACAGTTGCGTGGCCAAGGCAGAGGCCTTCCCTTATGCTGTGCATGAAGGTGTTCTTGGTGTTCAGCGCGGGGTGGGCATCCGGGAGTGGTAACAACGTTCAGGTCTTGGGTGTCGTGAGTGCGTGCTCGGTGCCAGCCTTTTGGAGGTGACCGCGCCCTGAGGGACTGGTGTGAGTGCTCGTCCAGGTCGCCGTCCGCGTGGCCGAGGCGGCGCCCCCAGGCCGCCGTGGTGGTTGGAGGCGACCTTCGTGTGCTGC